AACGGGCATTCACACACTTTTTTAATAATCTCACACACAAGGAATATATTTATTTAATAATAAATCAAAATTGTCTGATACACTTTATAAAACCATTAGCAGTGCCAGCGTAGAATAGTCATTTTGGGCTCAAAATTTGTCTTTGTAAACCTCATCTTTATAAAATACTAGCGGCCCTGTCCCTGTACAAATATTTAAATTATAAGCATGCTAATTAAAACGACCATGAATCACTAAATTAGAAAAAAAATGTATTGCGCGTCCTCTCTATTAACGACCGTGGTCTATCTCGCTGGTTCAGGAGCCGCTGCGAGCGTTCAGTGTTAGTGTCCCGTGCACGCGTTCGCGAATTCCTAGCTCTATTTCCTTCAAGTCGCTGAGACGAACTTGCATTTTGTTCTGCAAGACGAACCTGAACGTTCGACGTTAGAATCTTTAGCTCGGGTTTGGGACGCGTACACTCTAATACTTTCCATACTCAATCATTTTAGGAAGAAGACTCTCCAATACGACGAACTTTTGCTAATCTCGCTTGGAAACTATTCTTAGATAACTGCGACCTTCTTCTTCTAGGCATAATGGCTAGGCTATGAAGGATATTTATTTTAAATCAGAGAAATTAGGAATAAACTAATAATAAAACAAAAGAAAATATTCAAGTTCAAAGCGATAGTTCTGAAAAGAACTTTGACAAACATTATGCAAAAAAAAAAAATTAAAAAAAAATCGAAATATTCAATGTCGTTCGCGCCCACTGTGTAAGGAGCCCACTGCTCCTCTATTGTCGAATTAGTTACTCGATGTGCGGCGTGGCGGCCGCCGGCATGTATTTTTATTTTAACATCATGATATCTTTTGAATGGCATGTCCGATTTCAATAATTAAAAAAAGTAATCATCAGGTATTGAGACAGTCTCGAATATGAAATTATTTATTTAGATAAATATTTATAAATGGTATAGATAACACGGTCTGATTTTGATCGGCATTTATATTAATTTGTTAAATGCAAAAAAGTTGTTATAGCGACTTAACTACAATAGTTAAACTAATGCTCTCTGTTTTTGTAGATCAATATATTCTATAATATTGTCGAATATTTTTTTGTCCAATCATTAATACTTTTCGAAGCGTATGCGAAGAAAGACATTTTACGGCAATTTTTTTTACGCCTTCCGTTGCTTTTAGTAAGAATTTCTATAGATGCCTATAGTAATCAAGTACTAAATATGCCTATGTTACTCAGTGATAATGTAGCTTTCTAATGAAAAAAGAATTATTAAAATCGGTCCAGTACTTTTTGAGTTTATCCGTTACATACAAAAATCTTTCCTCTTTATAATATATAACAACGTCATCCGTGTCTCGTCGACCTTGCCAATTACTCGTAATCTTAAAAGATAGACATATGCTGTCGCGGACATTTTTTAAGATCAGTTAAAGGAGAATCATACTTTCATACATATTTATTGGATATCTTGAACTGTTTTCCCTAAGTCACTATATTTATTGCATATTTTTTAGTTTATTGAATCATTTTGGCAGACCACAACGGAAACCTGGGAAAATTATTCATCTACGAGATGAATAATTTTCCCAGTTTTTCAACAATTTTCACTCTTTCTTTGCACCTATTGTACGAATAAATTTTCGAATTCGAACCAGTACTTCCTGAGATTAGCGCGTTCAAACAAACACACCCTTTAGCTTTACAATATTAGTATAGATAGAAACTAAAGACGTTCAAAGATTCATCAGCTGAGAGACGTACGCGATATCTCGGTCCACTACGCAGGCAGTGTCCGGTGTCGGGTGGTCAAGGGCAGAAGCGAATCAAATTGAAAGCGACATCGCATCTCGCCACGAACTTGGCATTGAGGTGGTGTAATGTGATTGCATTGTAATGTAATGAGTCGAAGCCGATGGGCTTAGAATCTCCTGTTGATTGTGGGTGTGGCGTGTAATAAATTATGGTCGAGGGTTTATCCTTTTTATAGAGGACAGACAGACATGTGGTTCTCTTGATGGAAAGTCAAATACCCAAGTCTTAACTGTCTGTAGTTTACGCGAGTGGTACACATTTAAATAAAATACTTTAACGGTTTAAAACGCTTCTTATCTTGTTTGAAAAATATTTTTAACTCGTGACCACGGCTGCTGCAAAGCATTGGAAACGTCGGGTCGTAGTTAAAAATAATTTTCAAACAAACTAACTAAATGATATCAAGTTTCAAGTCTATACATTGACGGTAGACGAAGAACAGAAGATCAAAAGAATCGTTGTTTATATCGATCGGTATTTTATTCGATATGGTATTTTTTCACCTTCAATTTGAACAAACGAAATAATTAGGTCAATTGAAAACAAAAGACAAATTGTGTAAGCGGCATTATGAAATGTCATAAATGTCCGTGACCTAGTCTTTCTCATAGTTAAAAACAAATGAAGGTGTGTTACAAAGAATTTTCTCTTGTTAATTTTTCAAAGGACAATCCCTTAAATGATTTCCTAAGGTTTCGGGGTCGCTTTTCAACTTTTTATAATAGCCAATCTTTTTATTGTGTGAAAATTTCTCGCTTGAATTTGTATAATTCAATCTTAGTTATAATTTTTGTTAGGTATAGACACAATTCGAAACCTTTATTTTGAATTACCTACTATTATAAAATAAAAAGGACACGTTTATTATTTATTATTTTCACTACGGACTGACGCATCCACTCCAGTCTAGTTCCTCGTGATAACGGCTGCTGTAAAAAGTCAGGCTGTAGTTTAAAAAGAAGATAAGTAATATACTTCACGCTTTAATCCGTTTAATGTGTTTTATTTTAATATTATACGACGGTCTATAGTTTACGCGAGTAGTACACATTTAAATAAAATATTTTAACGGTTTAAAACGCGATATATTAGTTAAACTTATTTGAACATGATTTTTAACTTCGGAACGACGTTTCGGATGCTTTGCAGCAGCCGTGGTCACGGGGAGACGAAGTTAAAAATCATTTTCAAATAAGTTGAACTAATATATCGCGTTTTATGTCGTTAAAGTGTTTTATTTAAATAATTATACGACGGCTTTTCACATCCCTCTGGGAGCAATGATATTTCAAACATATATTAAAAATTAACTCCTATCTATAACTCAATTGGTTAGTGTGTCAGCACGTATTGCTGTGGTTGTCCATTCAATGTTCGTGTAATTTTTTTAAAATGTAAATACATACAGGTAAAATAATTCATAACATAGTAAGGTAGAATAAGCATATAAATAAAGAAAACCTATCTGACTTTTCTTATTCAAAATTACGTAAACACGGGTTGTAGCAACGACATTACACCGAATGGTCTTAAAATTTCGTATCTTCAATGACACAAAACGGGAGAGCAGAGTGTCGCTTCTCTAAAGCCTAATAAAATATGCAATATCCCGCTTTTGTTTGGCTCTCGGTTTCAACTGAAAAAGTTGTATGGAAAGTTTCAAATTAATAGGATCCTTCGTCTGGTATTCCGAGCGGCCTATTTACTTTGGCGTACCAATCCGAGATTTCAATTCGCAAACAAAAAGTATCTATATTTGAGAAAGTTCCACAAATACACTCTTTGTTCGCCTCGCAAAGGTCGTGATAATGCTGAACTTTATAGATATTGACAGAGGCTGTTTGTGTGGTGAGGGATCATCTGACGTTTTATATTTTCACCTTAATGCAAACAACAATACGATAGGCTACCTGCCTTTTGTATTGTTGCTTGAATTTCTTGTAGTATGAAGTAACCTAGGTAATTCAGAGGGAATTTATAGTTTATCCAAGAATTAATGTTTTTAAAACACTATTAATATTATTGTAAGTATTGAGTGTAGTAGTACACACAATACTTACAATATACGAGTAGTACACATTAAAATGAAATAATTTAACGGTTTAAAACGCGATATATATTAAGCTCATTTGAACAAAACTACGGAGTTTTCGGGTGGATAAAGCAGCCGGCCACCACTGTTGCTTTATTTAAATATATACTAGTCGCGTATACTACAGACATTATTTGAGTAGTACAAAATTTAATAAAGTTAATTTTGTTAGAACACGAGTGTAGAAAACTAAGTTGTTATGTTTGTATGAGTTATATTTTTAAAGAATTTAATATTATATAAGAAAATTTTATATTTTCAAACGTATGAATTGTCCTGGTCTGAATATTATAATCATATTAAATATGTTAGTTATTTTGTTTACGATTTATTTTACACTACGGCCGACATTACAGATACTTCGCAGCAGTCGTGATCACGGGTGGAAGATGGAGGCTGTCCCTAATGTCAAGTCAAATCTGCTACTCTAGCGCCATCTATTTCGTCGTATTTGGAGAAACGTTGAGCTGTAGTAAAAATAAATTGTAAACAAGTTAACTAATACCTTTCGCGTTTTAAAGCATAAGTGAACTGCGTACACAACTTAACCCGCATACAATATGTTTTTTTATTTTATTTTAAGAAAGAAACATAACAGAAACACCAATCGATTACAATTTTATAGTAAGAGTAAATATATAATATAAAGGTGCATCCTAAAAAACGTTTCAAAGATAAATAATGTATAAAAGTAAGTTACAAGCAAATATCTTTAAAGGAATAATAATGAAATACAAAAACACAAAAGAATAAAATAAATAAAACGCCGCAAACAAGCAATTAAGTTAAATTTAAGTCAAACGCAAGTTCGTTTCTCAACATTGATAACAACTTGCGCCTGAACTCCTGTATTTAGACTAATAGTGTTTTAAAAGGACTAACGTATAAATACTTTTCAATTCTAGAACATAACATTCGTAACAATGTCCGAATCCCTTTAAAACGTCATAACCGTTTTTTATGAGTTTAGATTAGTTAAAATAGACTAGATATTTTAGTAACACTTTTTCATAAAAATGAACATTATAAAAAGATATTTTTTGATTCCTTGCATATGTTTAATTCAAAGGGTCTTTTTTGTTGTAGCCTCCGTCTGAAGGTGAATTAGCAGCACCAGCGAGTGTAGTCAGCCGAATGCACAGACTGAGAAATCTTCGTAAAGGAACAAGAGTAAGCATTTTTATATCAGCTGTTTATGATACAACTGGAACATATATTATCCCCAAAATACTCATATAATTCTTAGATAATAATTAACACTTGATAAAATATATTTTTATTCTTTAGTTCATTCAAAATTGATGTTTTGTCAGATAGATTAGGATAAGTACGGGGTTCACATGATGAAGGTGAAATACTTTAGCCATATAACATCTGAACATGACGCGCTGTCTCCCCGTGACCTCCGCTGCTGCAAAGCATCCGAAACGTCGGGCCGAAGTTAAAAATCATTTTTAAATAAGTTTAACTAATATATCGCGTTTTAAACCGTTAAAGCGTTATATTTAAATCACTATACTTTAAAAATCGAAAATAAATTGAAAAAAATATTCTACCGAGTCCTAATTCAATTGGTAGAGCAACAGCACGGAACGCTGACGATGCCGGTTCAAGTCCTGTCCGAGGCGAATTTTTTTTAAAATTTATTTTCGATTTTTAAATTATATAGTGCCTTCATGTGCAATAGCATGTAAAAAATAATTAAGTTTTCAAATATTTAGTGTAAAAGATTTTGACGTTTATTTTTAAGGTAAAATATACATTATTTGTTAGCCACAGACGCTGTTTAACGACAAGGGAAAATACCCTACTTTGACACGAATGTCCTACTGCCAATGTAGACTGCCGAGAGTCTTCACCAGTGTTTTCGAGCGGTTCGGATGGACCCACGTTGCATTACTACTTGACAAGTCGGATTTATTCTCGCTAACAGTTGGTAAGGCCACTAGTTTTTTTTTTAAATTTATGCTTATTTGAACTCCGAACTCGTTACTACATAATATTTCGTAGATTTTTAACTGTATTAGATTTTTAACTTACGAAATATTATGTACATTTTTTTTATTTACATGCACCAAATTATATTACAATATGTGGCATTGCAGGCAAAACTAAATGAGGTACACATAAAAAAATAGTATTTTAGTAAGATAAACAATAATTATAAAATATATAAACTCTAAATGAAGAATTTGACGAACGGAATTCGTCTGTTTCACTGATCGACTATATCAAAGGAGAATGAAACAATGTATTTTTTTTCTGGAATTCGAACCAAGGGCCTGTCATGAAGCTTATTAAAGCAATGTAAGGCAACGTGTGTTTAGTCTTAAATACATTAAATTCTTAACTCATAATACGAGTATACTTCGAACTAAGTGAAAACCAACTGAAATAAATTGATAAATGTTTCGTTTCAACTCAACACGTGTTTAGTTTTCGCCTGTCTAGTACATTTCAACCTTTAGTGGAATAGTCTCGAAACACACTTTACGAAGGTTCAATATTATAAGACGTGCGTTATGTTAGGTTTTTTAAGACATGTTAGAAAAATTATATGTTTGGATTCAGCACATTTTCAAATAGAACGAAACCTTGTTAGTGACGTTGTGCACTTTTTTGAAATGATACTCTAATCGAAAATTCATAAGACGATAGCATTAATTAAATATTTTATTGTATCCGTTGTTAAATAAATTCGCGAATCATTATATCCTAAGCAAATCATTTTAAGGAATCATCATATTAAGATTCACGTTTTTACTTCTAGCGGCACTACCAGTGCGTGTCTGTCGGTTGTATTAAATCTTGTTTGTTCGTGTTCGTGTTTCAAGTCGTCCTGTTCAGTCAAATGTGCTACGCTAATGCACGATAACGTCAGATAAATACGTTCATTGATAAATTTTAAAACAAAAACATAAACAAGAAAATAGTCTAGATAATTGTAAAAATATTTTTACTTAACAGACAAAATTAATAAGCACCGCAATTGGAAACACTTATGTTGTAGGTAAGAGTTTGGAGTGGGGCTTGAGGAAAGAAGGAGTGCTGAAAGCTGTGAGGGAATTGGATGGGAACGAACGGGAATCTTGCGAGGCTCTACTTCGAGATGTTAGCATGTATGCGCGAGGTTTGTATACAATACAATACTGCTGTGTAGCAGATAATTTTTCTAAAACTCTAGTACCACCCAAAATGTTTGTAGTATAACGAGTTACCACTCCGTGGCTCTGAGAGTATATTAAGTTGTTGCTCTTGGTGATTTTCACTAATTAAGTGAATAAAAATATATAAAAAAATTCTTTATTCTCTGTAAAATTATAAAAAAATATTTAGATTCGTCAAAAAAATATTAAATAATATATTTGCCTGTCCGTTCGTCGTGGTTCTACAGTGTTCATAAGAGCAACATAACCGAGAAGAACACCCAAGAAACTCAGTCTGGCTTTTTTCAACATGTCTTTAAAACTAATACAATAATACATTGTGAATTTAATGACCTAGGGAGCAATTCATGTCACTGCTAGGCAGCCCTGTCATTAAAGAAGTCTTTTCAACAATAATACGCCTTTTGAGACAATCTAAATTTTATGACTTTTTTGAACTTATTCATTGATAAATTTGAAACCTCAACTGGCAATCTATTATACATACGAATACAATTCCCCGCAAATGAATTAGTTATTTTATGGAGCCTATATTTGGGGATAACTAGCTTACCCTTATTTCTCAAACTTATTGTTAAAGCCCACTAACCCTCACTGAAACAGCGTGGTGGGTCGACGAGTTAAACACTCTTCCTTATGAGACAGACGTGTGCTTTATATTGGGTCACAAATAGACTGAAATAAATTAGGAGCTTCAAGCTCCTGTACTTGAAAACTGTATAAATCACTTCACAAAGAGTCAAGAACGCAATTCAAAGTTACAGACGCCATCTGCACTTAAGTTGACATTGACATTACTTACATGCGATTTCTCAATTGTCTCATGCAAATATTATGTTTCAAATAAATAATTATTTCCACTTTGTATGCATTGTTGCATTTGTGTTATCTAGGTCATTGAGTAGGTGCCTATCGACGGAGAAGGACTTCAGTTTCTGCTTTCCTGAGATTTATTAATATAACAGCTTTTTAAATGTGTAAAGTGTTGTGAAATAATTGGGACCCTTATGAAGAACATTTATTCCTAAAATTCACGTGGCGGTCACTGCGTTTTATTTCTTTTGTAGATTTTATAAGGGGGGTTTGTGACTCGGTAGGAAGTCTTACAAGTTTCGGATAAATTATAAATTGGTTTTAAATGATCCGTTGATTTTACATTGCTATAATTTGACCAAAGACTATTTGATTAATATCCTTATTTTGGACGTAAAAATAAAAATGTTGTATTATAAATATTTCTGTCCCTGCGCATTCTTTGAATTGGTGTCTTGCGACAACCATTTGCACAAAATAGCCAAAAGAGATGACTAAATTTTAAAACCGAAAGTTTGCGCAAGTGGTACACATTACATAAAGCGCTTTTAACGGTTTAAAACGATATCTATTTTGTTGCATAAACAGATGACGCGTACCTGATTATTAACTGCAATAACTATCAAAGATGGCGGACGTACTGACGACCGCCATCTTTGATTTTCCCTTGACCACGAGAGCAAAGCTACCAAAACGTCAGGGCAAAATAAACTCCTATATTTTGCATTTTAAACCGTTAAAAGTATTTTTTTTATATAGTGCAGTTTAAATTGAAAACTCTGATTGTTATGAGTTCTCTCAGTTGAGAGCAATATGAGGCGTTGTTGGCGTATCGTGAAGTAAAGCAATAAGACAGTGCAATTACAGCTTTCGTTATCTCATTCCGACAGTTGTGATATTGAGCGTGAGGGGCTCTCTGGTCCGTGAGTTCCTGCTAGCTGCGCACTCTCTAGGGATGACGAGGGGAGAGTGGGCTTTTCTGGACGTTGAGATTTTTCAGGTATTCTTTTCTTGTAACAAATTATCTAATTCGTTTTTCCTACTGTTTAGAAAATGAATTTTAAACTATATATTATACTAAAAAGACCTTACAATTAGTAAGGCTAAACTTTTGTTTACGAATATTAGAAAATAATATATTTTTAATTGATTAGGCATCCTTTTTTGTGTTTAAATAAACACTTTTAAGGGTTAAAATGCGAAATAAATTGGTTAACTTAGGTGTAATTAAATTTAACTACGGCCAGGCGTGTTGGATGCTTTAGAGCAGTCACAGTCACGCGGAAGAAATAAGTCAACTAATATATTTTGCATTTTAAACCTTTAAAAGTGTTTTTTTTATCAAATATTTAATACTCGAACTACAGACAACATCTTTTTGGTGTGTCATATGTCCCGCTTTCTGAGATTACTTCTGGGGTAAGGAATGATTAGTTTTTAAGTTGAACTCTATGTCTTATAATATAGGGTGGCTATTGGGGTGAAACCGGATGGGCAGCGGGCGATGAACGCGACGCCGCAGCCCGAGCGGCCTATGAAGCCTTACTTCGCGTGTCTCTTAAGTTACCCACTGGGGACCGTTTTGATGACTTCGCGGACACTGTGCGGACAAAAGCTAAACATCATTACAATTATACCTTCTCTGACGGCGAAGAGGTAAGAAAAAACCGTTTTAGTAGGAAGTCCTGTTATAATCTCTATCTCGACCTAGTGAGGATCACTAGCGCCATCTGTTTTTTTGATCTTGGTAATTGGTACTTTACATTTTAAATTTGATATCGCCGTAAATGCTTCATTTAATTTGCAACGCGTACACACAATACATAGTCATTAATCGAAGATTTTTTTCATTCTAACTTATTTTCACGACAAACGAAGTCTAATTGTAAAATGTACTTTTTATTATATACCACTAAATGAAAATCTATATTAAATTTACAGAATACATCTGTACTTACTGCGAAGAATGGCTACATATTATATTGATTATTTGTACAATGTCAAACGTGAACAAAATGTAAATAAAGAAATTGATTTTAGATATATTTTTTGCGCGACTGGTTCATGTGTAGAACGAAGATTCGACGATATCGCGTAGGACACGGTTAATTTAAAAAAAAATCTAAAATCGTTTTTTAATTTATATAGTAGATAACTAGTGAAAAATATTGAAGTTTTCAAATGTGAACAATGTATATGCTATAGGTTTTTGATTGACTCAAAATAAAAATATAATTTAGACACACTTTATTTTTATGGAAAAAAGCTATATATACATACCATCAACGCATTCTCGTCTTTGCCCACTATAAAAGTAAGAATAATTTAAAACTTAACCTATTCAAACTTTCCAAGGTGAACTTTTTCATCGGCGCATTTTACGACGGCGTCTATTTACTGGGAATGGCGCTAAATGAAACACTCACTGAAGGAGGGGACATCAGGGACGGGAGGAACATTACTCGTCGAATGTGGGGACGGGACTTTCACGGTAAGCTCTCAATCTATGGGTGAAGAAGAGTATACTTTATAACAGAGGAGAACAAGCAATTTGTATAAAACAAAGTGCTGTGTGATTAATATTGGTGAACTTATAAATAAATAAAAAGCACGGTGGTCACTTGATGGTAGATGAAATTCCTTATATAACATCTCAAGAAGATGCTCTGTCGAAGTATTTTGGCTATATGCGGAAATCCAGACTATAACCGAAACGCGATTAGACAAGACTTAACGACTTTTTCAACTGTGGACGTTAGGTCGCTACTGGGACGGAATTTCAATATATTTATTGGTATGAGTATGTTCTGGTATTTTTGCGGACTTAGTGGATCAAGCGGTAGAACATGTATGTACAGCTGGACGTCCCAAATATTTGTAAATGATTTTTGGCCTGGAAAGTCTAGGGAAATGTTTTTTAAACTCTCTTTGGGTCACAGAAAGAGAGCCGTTAAGTTTTATCACTGAAGAGAGCAGACCAGGTCCTTTCTTGAAAGCTAAAATGAAATTCTTGTCTGTCCTTTTCCGTCATAAAAAATTAATGCATAAGTTATTGAATTGTTTTAAATTACTTAAAAACACTTTTCGATTAAGAAATAAAGCTTAATACGCTTCGTAAAATTGGCGCATAATATGATATTATATCTCATCACTGTAACTTGAACAGCTAGCTCAAGTAGCTCTTGATAATACTTTAATATTTTACTTATTTCCGAGTTACACAAAACCTTACTCTGCAGTGCAGTATTAATTATTAATTAAACAGATTAAGTACCAATAAACTAGAAAAATTCATAATACTATATATACTGTAACTGCCTCATTGTATAAGACGTAATAAATATATTTAAACACAAGTTTTGTAGAAGCTTAAAATTAGTCCTATAGTGTTTATATTTTTCCATGACTTTTTCTTTGAAATAACCTTTAATTGGAAACTCCCTAACTAGTTTATCAGTAGCTGTACATGCTACATTTGTCGTAGTAACTGGTTTGCAAATTAAAATTTAACGAAATTAATCCGTCAAATTGTGAAGCGACTTTCAACGTCATGCGCATATCTTAATTAACCTAATCAAGTACATAATACGTGAAGCCGCGAAAGCTGGTCGTTTGTCAATAAGAAAATTAAAAATGGCGGCTTCTTAAGGAATCGTAAAAAACTTTATATTATTAAAATGGCCGCCTTTCTATCGATGTTCGTTGATTAGAGTCGTTTCAATGACAGCTGTAGATGTCAATCGATATTGAAATAACGTGCCCGTGCCTACACTGTAGAAACAATAGACATTAAATAAATCACTTTTAACAGTTGGAAACGCGAAATGTATTAGTTGTTACGGGGGAAATAAATGTAATTCATTTCGCGTTTTAAACTATAAAACTGTTTTATTTACATTCTTCTACTGCAGTAAACTACAGACAGCACAATTTTAACGGTTTAAAACATGAAAATATATTACTTAACTAATTTACGAATTTGTTTAACTACAATCATGCTGCAGTTGCACACGAAGGTTAGATAATGCTTCCCGTTTTAAACAGTTAAAAGGTTTTTATTTAAATTTGTAATACTCGCGTAGAGAGCAGACATTTCGTCTGCCGTATTATGTGATGTATGCTACTTACGTACAGACAATTTCTTTATGTATATAATCCAGGTATAACTGGTCACGTCCGAATCGATGCTGTTGGGGATCGCGATGCTGACTACGCAATACTCGACCTGGATCCAGTTACTGGCAAATTCGAGGTAAGTACATTACAGTACGTGTTTTTCATGTTCAGTACGTTATCACATTTCAATTGATCTGACCTCCATTTTTTTTTATTTGAAAATGTCAAATTAAAAATGAAATACATAAACAATAAAGCTTAATGTAGCTTAGATCTTTTATGTGTGTTAGCTGTCACCTGCAAATATTTTTTTTGCTGCAGAGTTTGTTTGTATGTTTGTTTGTTTAAACGTGCTAATCTCAGGAACTACTGGTTCCTGGTAAAAGAATGATTTATTTAAAAAAATTAAAAGTAAGTTAGTCTTGGATACAGCGTTAATTAATTTTAACATAAGGGTTAATATAAGAATACGTTACTAATATAAACATTTTACTTTTGCACACAGGATTCAGTAAATACTTTATACGCGTAAATTATTATAACACTAGCTGTACCAATGACTTCGTCCGCGTAGAATAGTTATTTTGGGTATCGATTTTTTTTATTCAAATCTCCTTTTTATCTTTACAAATTAAATCTATTAGCCACGACATCTGTCGCATCCAGTGTCGCGAACATTTTTAGATCATTTAAAGAGGAATCATTCTTTCATACATATATCTTGTGTATCTTGCACCGTTTTCGCAGCGCACACCACGAATCCTTAAAGGTGATTTTCCCCGTTTTTCCACATTTTCCACTGTCTCATTACTCCTATGGGTCGCTGCGTGATGTTTTATAACCTAAAGCCTTCCTCGATAAATGATTTAACCAATACAAAAAGATTTTCAAATCGAACCAGAATTTCCTGTGATTAGGCCTTTCAAATGAACAAACAAACAAGCTCTCCAGCTTTATACAATTGGTATAGACAAGCGTTTGTTCCTATAAGGTTGTGGCGTTTTATCACGGCCTCAATATGAGCTACAAGCCTGTGGCGGGAAAGGCTATACATTGGCCAGGAGGAAGACGAGGGCCGCCCCCGGATAAGCCCAGGTGCGGTTTCCTAGGCAACGACCCTATGTGCCAAGGAGGTAATACTTAGCTTAGAACCGTATTATCAGTGTGTATTGTTCATATATGGAAGTGATAAATACATATTTCCATTCGTTTAACTCATAATTTTTACAGCAGTTTTTATATTTTTCTCGAGATTCAAACCGAGGACTTCTCCTGCTTAACGCTATGCTAGGCATTGGGTTTAACAGTTGAGACATAACTTACTTTACATTATTATAACTTTTTTTAACACGATTACTAATTTATATCAAAAAAAAGGTTTGATATAAATTAGTAATCGTGTTGTCAAGCCAAAACTTTATTAAATACATATTTTTAATGAGGATTATAGATTTAATTACATTTAATAGATTTTATCATGCGTTATTGGTTAGTTCTTAATATGTACATCAAATTATAATAAAACACTTCAAACTTAAACCGTTTGAAGTGTTTTATTAACCGTTAAAACGTATTTACAATTTATTTTTATCTACGACCCGACTCCTATATGCAGCCATTCAAAGCGTATAAATTCCGCGTTTAAACGGTTAAAATTGTTTTATTTAAATAAATACTACTTGTTAATTACAATGTAAGTCAAAGTATAACCTATATCTGTTGTTCGTAATAAATTTCCTCTAACAAATATAATTATTAAAACTGCAACATTAACTTCGAGATGCCATTGTTTACAAAACGTATAGACAAAGTTTTAGCCTCGTAAACTTAGTGTATAATTTTAATTGGATAACTTTTATCGCAAGGCCCTGGCGAGTCGTAACTTTATGAATATTTATGGTTTTGCACGCTGCTCAGAGGCGCAGACGGTTATAATATACGGTTTTATCGGACTCGCCGTGTTTTTTACACTGGCTGTGACTGCTTCGTGTATCGCATATAAGTAAGTACTAGCTGTGTCAGCGACTTCGTTCGCTTAGAATAGTTATTTTGGGTGTCACCATTTGTTTTTGCAAACCTCTTCCGGTTTAATTATAGATGTTACCGCGTCCGCGTCCCGTCGTTCTTGCTAGCTAATCGTAAAAGATAGACATAAACTGTCACGGACATTTTTTAGATAATTTTAAGATAAACGGAAACGCACAAGGATGAAAGCTTGTCCCCGGTTTTTCACATTTTTCGCTGTTTCTTCGCTTCTACAGCCATTCTCGATAAATGCTCTAATCGAGACAAAAATAACTTTTCAATTTGGACCTGTAGTTCCTGAGCATACAAACAAACAAACTATTAAGCTATATATATTAGTAAAAATATAAGCTTAAGACATTCTCCGACGAAACTAGAAAATTTGCGAGTTAGCAATCATCGAAAGGCGAGTTTATAGTTCCGACAGTTTTGTCTCTAAGCGAGTGCGAGTGCGAGTCTTATGCCGGAGATAGCTCTCGGCGAGTTTTAGCCGAGCATTCGTCGCTGAGCGAGTATAAAACAATTACTTTCATATCTACCTATCTATGTCGATCTTTTTACATGAAATCATCTCTGTCAGTTCTTGAAGAAACAGCTGATTCTCGCAGTCTGTAGAATATGTGCTTCTGCAATTCGTTTACGATTTTCATTGTCTCGCGATAAACATTTTTTCTTTAACAGACAGATGAAAATTGACGCGGAGTTGAACAATACAGTGTGGAGGGTGAGACCTGAAGAAGTACTGGTTGAAGTGGCGACGGGGCTCGGAACTAGTCCAGCGCTGCATAGCATTAATGAAGTACTTAAGGTGGTGTTACCATAAAATGTTTACAAATTACCTTACAGATTTCTTTCGCCTAGTTTTGCTTGTTTTATGTAAAAAAATAACTGTGAACAACACATTCAAAAAAATTTGTTGTGAATAACATTTGTCGCCGGTTATAATCTCATTTTTGTGGTCATAGTTGTTATAACGCCAACTCACACTGAAGCGGTGTGGTGGGTGTCATATCTTAAAAGAGTGTTTTAAGACTAAAACGAGATTAATAAAGAGAAATATTAACATTACATATTTGATATTTACATACAATTTAAAACGCACTGCGTCACAATTAAATACATAATATAAACAATTATTATACAATGACTAGTATTTACACGTATATTTTACTTCTTACATCAGTAAGTTTTTAATATAGTTTTTTTGAAATAAAACGCTGAATTAAATTTCAGATGCTATAAAAGCAATGATATTTAAAATTTATATATTTTTCATTTCGTTAGAGAGTAACATCGATCGTTAAAATTTGAGACTTGTGCTCAGCTGTGTGTGTTCTCTCTTTCTACATTTCTTTGTATATAAAATAAACGAGTTCACAATTTAATTGTTTAAAACGCGATACTTATTAGTTAAGGAGAGGCACGTGACCACGGCACCTGCAAAGATCCGAAACCTCAGGCCGTAGTTAAAATAATTTCCACTTCCGTTTTAAACCGTTAAAATGTTTTATTTAATTGCGTAAACTACCGACAGTGTTTAACAGCTCCGTTGTTTTAATCGAACTTCTACACAACCTTCAAGTAAAACCTACGCCGTTAGCTGAAATACGATAGTTAAATAGCTCTAAATAAAAAACGGATCTAATACACTTTAAATGTCCAATTAATTAATTTGATGGCGTTGTTAGAAGTTAATTTCATTTAACAGTAAGTGCATTGTGCTTTATTGTTTGCGCCTCGTGTGCCAATTAAATGAAGCCTTCGAGTAATTGGAATGAAAAGTAATCTTCGCAATCATCGGTGAAGGTTGTACTGTGAAAATAATATTTGTGATAACTTTGAAACTATGGTTTGCATGCTATCTGTACAATGACACCATAGCAAAGGTTTGTAGAAACAAGTATTTTAGATCTAATCTGCTGTCTGTATGTACTCTCGTGTTAAATACTGTCTATAGTTTACGCGAGTAGTACACATTTAAATAAAAAACTTTAACGGTTTAAAACGCGATATATTAGTTAAAAATCATTTCCAAATAAGTTTAACTAATATATCGCGTTTTAAACCGTTAAAGTTTTTTATTTAAATACTCTCGTGTTTTCAACAGTATTATAAATCTAGTGACCACTAGCCATTGAAATCGAAGGCCCACGAAAGTATTACTGAAGTTGTTAAACACAAGTATGGGACTCCGTCTGTGTTCGTGGCATAGTTATTTTAACAATATATTAGCTGTGTCAGCGACTTCGTCCGCGTAAAGTAGTTATTTTGGGCAGTTTTTGCAAACCTAAAGGTGTACTTTATAAATTTAAGCTTACCCACGACGATGGTCGCGTCTTTACCCTTCGTTCTTGAAAGTTACTCATAAAAGATAGACATATACGTTGCAGTACTTTTTTAGATCATTTAAAGAAGAATCATTCTTTCATACATATTTTTTGGGTATCGTGAACCGTTTTTGCAGCGTACGCCTCCGAATTCCATAATGTAAAATAATTCTCCCAACGTTTTTCACATTTCTCGCTGTATCTTTGCTTTTATTACACACATCCTGATGATTTATAGCCTATAGCCTTCGATAAATGCTCTAGACAAGATTACAATAGTTCCTGAGATTAGCTCGTTCAAACAAACAAACTCTTCACCTTTATATATTAGTCTAGAGTATTAGTACCGATAGAGCATTACTCGTTTACGATATATCCTAATTAGTTACAATTTAGTTGCTTGTTTATAGAGTACAAAGAGATTTACAGAGGAAAAACTCGCATTCAACATTTGGAAAATCACATAGAAAAACCGAAACGTGGGCTTACACTTTGTTCTTCATCTGTGTGATCCCGTTGATATTTTTAGACCGGGAGATTTTCCGTACAATTCTGTAATGAAAAGTGTTGATCCCGGTGGGAATCAAACACGAATAATAAGCTTAAGGTATTACCGCTGGACTTACTGGAACGTCGAAGTATTAAGTTGTTTATGACTAAATTGCTATCGAAGAAGAGATCACCATTTCAAAGGTCATTTACTCATTCTTCAGGTGTCGAGGTCAAAAATCTTGGACGTTAACCAATAAATCCGTAATATTATACGCTTCGATAAATTAAAAGAATTGCCCGCCCAGTACTATTTATTTCTCTCATCTCTATAGTTTCTTTAAAAGAGAACTTGAATTTTCTTATATTATAAATACCAGTAGTATTTATAATATAATAAAAATCAATTCACGCGAGAAATACACATTTGAATAAAACACTTTTAACGGTTTAAAACGCGAAATTTATTAGTTCACTTATTTACAATTTATTTTAACTACAGCCCAACGATTCGGAAGCTTTGCAACAGCTGTGGTCACGGGATGAACACTATTACTATTAGGATATTTCTAGTTTCAAATCGAAAAGAGTTTTTTTTTATATAACAAATGCAAAACTTCGTGTCTTCGTCTCTCTAAAGCGATCCCGATGTTTGTTAAATTTTCACGTCAAAAATGCTTAAACGATCTTGATGTTATGTCTTTTTTTATAAAAAACAGTTGTATGTCGATGAGCACAGAATGGGAAATGAATTAATAGCTGTAATGCAGCAGTTCAAGGTAATCTTAAGATATTTCGAGAATTTAATTTGTTCTGCAAAGACGATGAAAGCGAGCTTCAAAGAAAATTAGATTTTTTCTAACATTTCAATTTATACATTGTACAGCTTATACGTTTCGCGGATTTTCATGGCATGTCTCAAATTGGACTTTAGCCTATAAAAATGCCTCTTTGTAAACTGTTATTAACGCCGTAGAACGAAGTTTTTACACGAACAAACGTTTATTAAATATATAAGTAAAAATATTTATTTTTTGCTGCCAGTTGAATTTTAGATATAAAAGCGAATAAGGGGATAGAGATAGTATGTACAAAATATTTGCTTCAAACAAAAGTTTATATATAAAAATACTAGCTGAGCCGGCAAACGTTGTTTTGCCATATAAATAATTTTACTAAAATGTTTATTAAAAAATAAGGGTGTTTTTGTATGTTGTATCATAAAAAAAGACAAATTAGAAATTTTGTCTAAAAAAAAAATTTAAGAGCGAACAACCCTTATCACTTAGGGGGATGAAAAATATGATGTTGTCCTATTCTCAGACCTACTGAATACACATATCAAATTTGGTGAAAATCGGTCGAGCCGTTTCGGAGGAGTTCAAGTTCGAACACCGTGACACGAGAATTTTATATATTAGATATTAGATGTTACAATGTAAACATGTAACACTATTCTTTTGTTTTTGACTGACTCGTCTGTGTAATGATAACAATGAACGTAATCAACGATACGTGGGTTCGATGCCCACCGAGTCCAACATTTTTCTAATTGTTTAAAGCATGATGACCTTCTTAGGAATATCTAAATTCCGTCCGGGTCACGAACTACCAGCCACGGATGAATAAGCCGTAAAATTTAATCACGTTTCGGTTTCTGTGGATATTCGGAATATCCAAAACCAAAATAAGTCGACAGCGCACCTTGTTTAGATGCCATAGGCTGAGGTATATCACCCCATCAAGTGAATACCTCGCCTTTCTGTCCACCTCCATCATTAAAAATATTTCTTTATGATCTTTAAAATGATATGTTATTTTATGTAATCATTTAGTATTTCTATCGCATTAGAATTCCCGTGTAAGTGTAGAATAAGTTGTTATAAATATATAATGGCCAATGGTGAAATCATCTGGCCAATTAATTCAAACCCCTCGTAGGTAGTGAAAAGCAAACAGTAGATTGAATCCGTTTCCTACCTATTTAATGACATAATTTTCCTCTTATCCCGTAGTTATCTCTCGGCTGGAATATCCGTAATACAAGTTCATCAGTCGGCGGCCCGTCTCTGACCTTATCTTCGTTCACGGTCGGACTTTACAAAGGCAACAGAGTGGCAGTGAAAAAGATACACCGGAAGAAATTGGATTTGAATAAGAAACTCCTTTGGGAGATCAAACAGGTTCGCTAAATAAATTATTTGATGTTTTTAATCTGTGTTCTGTTAGATGTTCAGATATTTTGACATTTGACATAGTGCGAACTGTCAAAATATTTGAAATTCGAATATGTTTATGTTAATATGTTATTTATAGGTCTGTGGAGAGATTTAAACAATAGAGCAATAATAAATTCCTTTCATTTCTACCTACGAAATATCGAGACAAATATATATAAAATTAATTATAATAATCTCTTCTTACTGTTTTATTTCACAATTCAACACTGTTCAATTTTTAGGCACGCAACGTTTCCCACGAGAATACGGCGCGTTTTATCGGCGCTTGTGTTGACTGCCCTTTAGTGTTCATTCTCACTGAGTACTGCCCTAAAGGATCTCTGAAGGATGTCCTCGCGAATGAGGAATTACAGCTAGATTGGAATTTCAGGACCTCGCTTGTACACGATATTGTTCAGGTAAACGTCCTTTGATGCCTGATAAAGTCTTCGGCGTTTGTCTTCATCTTATTACGATTGTTATCTACGAGTGAATGGATACAGACGACCATTTAAATAAAACTTTTAACAGTTTATAGAACGAAGTATATTAATAGATTACTTTTTCACAGCCGTAGAGACATTGATATAATAATATAATATTTTGATATTATTTATACAAACCATTAATAGAGTTTTTTTGTAATTATAGTAAGAATAATTCTTGTATACCAAATTTATAAGATGTACAGCGCTAACTAAAGACATGCATACAGATTAGACTACAGTATGTGTATACTTCTACCTCAATGGTTAAACGTGTTGCCCAGCGTTAAGGTCAAGAGATCCTGGGTTCGAATCCCGGGGAAACGATAGATTGTTTCAGTCGGGCAAGACACAGAAGTCTGGTCAACATCTTATGTGTAAATAAAACCAATCAGTGAATACAAAAATGTGTCCGCCTCATACGCTAAGGGGGAAACGCAAGTTTACCCTATTAATGTATGAAATGGGACTTATGAATTCCTTAATCTGTGTCGAATAGGGCATGTGTTATCTACATAGTGGTCTGGGCGCGCACGGCAAACTTCGCTCCTCAAACTGTCTAATCGACGGGCGATTCGTGCTCAAAATATCCGACTACGGACTTAACACATTATGCACACCCACAGACATGATAAAAGACGACTCCTACTATTACAGTGAGTATATCTTTCCTTTCTTTTGATTATTTTTTATATAGAACATCGGCGAGTCGATTTCAAAGGATTTTATATCATTAACTAGATTCACAATTTTATTATAACATTTTTAAAGTATTGTCTGATTACACGAGTAGTGCACTAAATAAAACACTTTTAACGGTTTAAAATGCGAATTATATCCGTTAAAATATTTGTAAATTGCTCTCTGCAGCAGCTGAAATGTCTGCCGAAGTTAAAATAAATTCAGAACAAGTTAACTTGTATATTCTACGAATATATTTTTAAATACAGATATATATACAGACTATATATATCTGTGCTCGCGACTTCATCCCCGTACAATAGTTATTTTGTGTTGCGGTCTTTTAGGTCGCATTATGATGTTTTAGAGCTTAAAACCATCTTCGATAAATGCTCTACTCAATTTTTCAATTCAAACCAGCCGTTCCTGAGATTAGCGCGTTCAAATAAATAAACAAACTCTTCAGCCTTATAATATATTACATACATATACAGCCTTATAAGACTATTGTATATAAAGTATATTAATACATTATAGATTAAATATCTCTATAGATTAAAACGTTCAAAGTTTAGGAACCATAAAACAAGCGCAAACTTCTAACTAAGAAGATCGCGGGATGAAATGGGAATCTCGGCGTTAAAACTTTTCAAAGCAAAATCGTTTTATGGTTATTGCATTTGGTGCGAATATTCTGTGAAGGAATTTGCTATTAAATACTTTGCGCTAATAACATTATATCTATACTAATACTAGCTCTGTCAGCGACTTCGTCCGCGTAGAATACTTATTTAAGTCATGACGTCGGTCGCGTCCCATCATCGTTCTTGCAAGCAAATCTTAAAAAATGGACATATAGCGTCGCAGACTTTTTTAGATAATTTAAAGAGGAATCATTCTTTCATACATATTTTTTTGGTATCTTGAACCGTTTTTGCAGCGTACACCTCGGAAACCCATAATGATGAATACTTTTTTTCCATTTATTTCAAATTTTTCGCTGTATCTTCTCTTGTACTAGTTACAGGGTAATGTTTATAATCTATAGCCTTCCTCGATAAATGCTCTAACCAACACAAAAATAATTTTTCAATTCGAACCCGCAGTCCTGAGATTAGCGCAAACATACAATCGAACAAACTCTTCAGCTTTTTATTAGTATAGATTATAAAATGAAGAGTTTGTTTGCACGCGCAAATCTCAGGACCTACTGAGTGGGAATTGAAAAAATATTTCTGTTTTAAAATAGACCATATAACGCATATAATATTCCGCTGACCAATAGTTCCCAGAAAAAGCATTAAGAGAGATTTAACGGTAGGCATTTAGGCCAGTCCATAGTAATGGCCCTTTGTCTAGTAGTGTGACATACATTAGATAGAATGATGGTGAACTAAGCTTTTCTAAGCATGGTAGCAACGTATGGCCAATGATCAATGGGTCGTCGGTTCGATGGACTAACTGGTTGGTGGTGGATGGTTCAACATGATGGACTTCGTCTGGAAATCTGGATATTAAACGAGTGGTAGGAATATAGAAATTCCGTCCGAGTCACGAAGCAAAGATGTGTGGATTTCCGAATATCGAGAGGCAAAGTAGGTTGACAGCGGGTCTTGTGTAGATGTTGTGATGCGGTATTTCATCTAGTGGGCCCATGCCATGTCTGTCGTCCTCTATCACAAAAAATCAGCCTATCAAATTTGGCCAATTTAATTAAGATAAACGCCAATTAACATGAAATATTTTATATATATTGATAAATTAAATATATATCACATAATGGCATCATTTAGATTAAAAGATTTTACGATTGGTTAGTGTTAATGCTGTCCATAGTTTACGCGAGTAGTACACATTTGAATAAAACACTTTAACGGTTTAAAACGCGATATATTAGTTAAAAAGTCGGATGCTTTGCATCTGCCGTGGCAAAGCATCCGAAACGTCGGGCTGAAGTTAAAAAATATTTTCAAATAGGTTAAATAATAAATCGCGTTTTAAACCGTTAAAGTGTTTTATTTAAATGGTTAGTGTAACAGCAGAGATCGCTGTAGACGCCGGTTCAAGTCCCGTCTAAGTAAAATTTTTCAAATCTAGAATACACTTATAAAATTCGTCTTTTGTTCGAGCGTGTATGTCTACCATATATGTACTTATTAGTTATTACAGGTAGTTATTAGGTAAGTATTCCAATGATGCGATAATGATAGTGATGAACATAGATAACACTTCATACACTAACTAGCACAACATGAAAATATTCACTTAAATAGACACTAATTGTAAGTAGACATAAGTTAGCTTCGATATTTTTATTTTTTGTCTGTAACCTAGAAGAGACTGTGGGTGACTACCACGACACAAGTTAGAGAACCTAGTGTAGGGACTAGGGACTTAATTTGAATTGATTTAATTAGATCGTAGAGACGTTCGTTTATTAGAAACATTAATACAACACTAAAGTGACTTAGGCAAATGTTTTCAGACATTTTCAGGCATTTTTTTCTAAGCGAATTCTTGCGAACATTCTATTCGTTCGTCTTAGTCATTTAGCAACACATCCAGTTCATTTTTATATAAGCTTTATACATATATATAATTTTTATATCCCAGAATTACTCTGGACGGCCCCCGAATTAGTAGCAGGGAGCGTGTATCCTGGGATTGTCGCGTCCCTCAAGGGTGACGTCTATAGCTTCGGGATAATTTTGGAGGAAATAGTTTTGCGAGCTGGACCTTTTCATCATTATACTGCGACTATGTCTTACAAAGGTACGCGTTTTTTCTAACTACGAGTAAAATCCTGTACTGTGTTTTTATAACTACGAGTAAAATCGTGTACTGTGTTTTTATAACAACGAGTAAAATCCTGTACTGTGTTTTTATAACAACGAGTAAAATCCTGTACTGTGTTTTTATAACAACGAGTAAAATCCTGTACTGTGTTTTTATAACTACGAGTAAAATCGTGTACTGTGTTTTTATAACAACGAGTAAAATCCTGTACTGTGTTTTTATAACAACGAGTAAAATCCTGTACTGTGTTTTTATAACAACGAGTAAAATCCTGTACTGTGTTTTTATAACTACGAGTAAAGTCGTGTACTGTGTTTTTATAACTATGAGTAAAATCCTGTACTGTGTTTTTTTAACTACGAGTAAAATCCTGTACTTTAATTTGGACGCAGAAATATGTCTCACAGGTTTCACTGATTCATGTTATTAACAGACAAGTTGTTGATCAGACCTCTTCTTTGCCTCGCTCGACCGAAATAGTCTATTGTTTCCGTAGGATTCAAACCCAGGGCCTGTCGTACTTAACGCAAGTGCGTTAAGTACGACAGGCCCTGGGTTTGCTTGCTTTACTACGTTATCGATTATACTTATAATCGATAACGTAGTAAAGATTATAATGACAGACCGATTTAAAATTTCATCACTTACTCTTCTTCTTTGTCTTTATTAATCCAAGGATTTTTGAACTCGGTTTATCACTTATATAATTGTTGTAAATCTTTTTATAATATTTGTAATTAGAATAGATAAGTAGTTATTTTCTCATAAAAAACAATCAGGATTCATATATAATTTTTTATTTAAATGTTTATCTTAGAAATAGTATCTCGTGTCTGTGCGCACGAGTGTCCCACGTTTCGGCCAGTGGTAGAGCTGACTGAAGCCGCTGCTGGTGGGGGAGGAGGTGCAGCTACGGAGCTGTTGGAATTGGCTGCACGCTGTTGGGTCGAATCACCAGATGATAGACCTAATTTTGACACTATTAATGCTAATTATATCAAGTTAGTACTAAGCCTAGACATTGATAAAGTTAAAATCGTTAATTTACATAATTATGTATTTCGATTTTAATTTCCAAACTAGACGGATATATTAGTTAAAAAGTCTCTAACGTAAATTAATTAAAGTCGTAAGTACTATATTTATGTAGGTATAATGGTCGTCATACATTAAATAGCACGTAAAGTAAAAAAAAACTTGTAACGTCTTTCTTGCTATTCAACGTAAAAAGTGCAATGATATAACCTTTTATATAATTTTGTACTCTCTCTATCCTTTTACTCATTCATTCATTTAAATAAAACGTAACGGTTTAAAACGCAAACTATACGACGACTCAATCTTGACCGTACCATGGCTGCTGCAAAGCATCCGAAACGCCGCGGTCGGTCCGTAATTAAGATTAATTGTAATACGAATTATTTCGCGTTTTAAACCGTTAAAAGAGTTTTATTCTATTTTTTGTGGCGATAAAACATTGATTCTTCTTAATAAATTGTGTAACGTTTTCACGGCCATCGTTCTGCATATCATTGTTTTTCGGGATGTCCTTCCGACGTTTGCGAGAAGATTTTTAACCCTCTCTTGCTTCTCTTCTCGCCAGATAGGGTTTTCGCTACTAATTCTAACCAGACCCAAATTAGGTTTTACTATAACCGAGAAACCCATTCTTATTAGCAATGCTTTTAAAACTATAAAAGTGCTCGTTACATATATAATTTTTATTTTTATTTTTCGTTCTATAAAGAAGTTATAAATTAATAACTCGTACAGACGTACAGACGGAATTCATTATAAAACACATCATTGTAGAGGCTACTGCGACAATCTGATGGACGACCTCCTAAGCCGTATGGAACAATACGCCAACAACTTGGAATCTCTCGTGGAGGAGAAAACTGAGCAGTTGTCTCTGGAAAAACGACGCTCTGAAGAGCTTTTATACCAGGTCTTACCGAGGTAAATAGCAAATACCGCAAAAGCAGAGTCGATAGAGATAGAGAAAGACATACAAGTAGGGGGGATTCACTTGATGGTAGGTGATATATAGCATCATAACAAGATGCGCTGTTGATCTATTGTGGCTTTCGATATACGGAAATCCACGGACTGAATTTCCAAACAAAGTCCAACATACTGTCTGCAGTTTACGCGAGTAGTACAATAAAAACATTTTAACGGTTAAAAACGCAATATATATTATTTAAACTTATTTGAAAATTATATTAATTACAGCCAAACGTTTCGGATGCTTTGTAGCAGCCGTGCTCACGGGGAGACTAATAGAGTTTAATTAATATCGCGTTTTAAACTGTTAAAGTGTTTGTTTATAAGTGCAACATGTTTCAGAGAAACTATAAATTGATAACATTTTGGACTCGGTGAGGATCGAACCTACACACATTGGCCGTCCTTTGTTTATCCAGGCCAGTGGCTCAGCAGCTGATGGCTGGAGAAGTGGTCCAGCCGGAAAGCTTCGAATGCGTGACTGTGTACTTCAGCGACATAGTTGGGTTCACGGAACTCTGCGCCGCCTCCACTCCGATACAGGTCGTTGATCTTCTGAACGACCTTTACAGCACCTTCGACAGGATCATCGGGTTTTACGATGTTTACAAGGTAATGTGTTGCAATCCCCATCGCTGGGCGCGTCCGTAATGCATCAATCGAGCCATGATATTATTACCATCATTGAACTGACTGTCTGTAGTTTACGCGAGTAGTACATATTTAAATAATACGTTTTAACGGTTTAAACGCGATATATTTTAGTTTTTTTTGTTTAATTTAAATGTGTAAACTTGACAAATTTATTCAATCTTAAATACATTTATAAATATAGCCTACAAACGTTAAACGTGATATATAATTTGAGTATCTATTTACTAATATTATAAAACTGAAGTGTTTGTTTGTTTGAACGCGCTAATGTCAGTAACAACTGGTTAGAATTGAATAAATTCTCTTGTTGCTCGGATCACTTATAGAGGATGGTTTAAGGCAACGAAAATAAATAATATAAATCCTAAATATAACTTTTAATGCGGACAAAGTCATGAGCACAGCTATTTTGAAAATAAATAGAGATTTTAAATAAATAAGAAATAAATTCAATATACCGTACTTAGAGCAAAAACATCTAATCAACGTTCCTGGAATTAAATTCCTGCGTTTGAAACCAGTAATTTCTTTTACTGCATCAGATCAATCACTAGGTGCTTCTTAAGAAACTGACTTGTATAGAGTATAATTTATATTAATAATCTAAGCGTTAGTACTTACTGCTTATTAAACGGTTTTATTTAGCACGTCATTAGAAATTAAAATTTAAACATCTTCCCGTGTCAGAGAGATCTGCAATTTGGTACACACATTTAATTTAGATGACAATACAAGATGGCCGCCGAAACAAAATGGCGGATTACATATTTTCCTAAACCCCCTCATTATAGGTATCAAATGAAAGGGCTACTCTAGTAAAACACGAAGATAATGTCAATTTTTTTTGTAGTTTTCAGTGCACAAAAAATTAAAACCGTTTAACTTTAAAGGTTTTTTCAAGTTCATACTTGTTTTTCACAATTTTATCTATTTATTTTATTACTATTTCTTTAAATAATAATTAACATTTGACGGGATCGTTGGTCAAGCCAGTGTATGGCTAATAATCAACTGGTCCTGATTTCGATCCCCGGCATATTTCTTGTTAATTCATATTGTATCTGAAACATGTTAGACTTCGTCTAGATCTGGATATTGAATTTTTATTTACATAATTCTGCATTTTAAAAGGTGGAAACAATAGGCGACGCGTATATGGTGGTGTCAGGGTTACCGGAACGTAACGGAGATCAACACGCGAGGGAAATCTGCTTGATGGCCCTCGCAATTGTCGAGGCAGTCAGGACTTTTGTCGTCCGTCATCGTCCCACGCACCGTCTTGAGGTATTTATATATAACAGATGAGGATGAGAGAAGAATTACGCACCTTTAGTTATCTATACTAATAAAGCCGAAGAGTTTATTTGTACGCGCTAATCGTAGGAACGATTGTTCTCAGTTCGAATTAAAAAAATATTTTTATGTTGGTTGGACCACTTATCGACGAAGGCTTTAGGCTATAAAACATCAGGCGATCAATAAGAGTGAAGAAACATTGGGAAATGTGGAAAGTTCGGGAAAATTATCCATCTTTGAAGTTTCCGTTGCGTGCATCTGCTATTTAAATAGGCACTGGTTATATTTTTGTTCTAAAAAACAATGAATTTGTGGGTGATGTGTAAATGTCAGGATAACTTTTAAGATACAAAATAAAATCATTACAAATATAGTTGTAATGATTTTATTTTGTAAAGGTTGTTTTATTGAGCAAAACTACAATTAGAAGATATTTTTTTGTATGTAAACATTTTTATTCCCAGGTTAGGATAGGAATACACTCTGGTCCAGTCTGCGCTGGCGTGGTGGGTGTCAAAATGCCGCACTATTGTCTCTTTGGGGACACTGTTAACACAGCTAGCCGTATGGAGTCGACGGGTCAACGTAAGCTTCCTTCTCATTTATTATTTTCACGACACACGATACCATAAAGTAAAATTATGTTATGTTACAACAGATAAAAATTTTAAACCAGTTCTCAAATCAAGAGGGTAGAACTAACGAACTAACTAACTAGCAAGAAACTCACCTCCTTCCAAACTCTGCAATTTTTATAACGAACTAATATAAGAATACATTTCGCCCGATTCTCGATTCGACCGTTTGTTGTTTGACACGTGTAGGTAATTGAAGACAAATTAGACATAAAAACTAAATTTTAGTTTAACTATTTATCCCTAATTCCAATGTTTAATAATACACCACTGGTGAGCAATACTTCTTCGAAGTTTTAAAATATTCAAGTATCTCACAGATCTGTAGAACATTTACTTATGTAGAATATCGTTGTAGGCACATACAGACAGATAAGATACATTTATAAAAGATATTTTCCATTTGTAAGAAAGTGAAATCCCATTTTCGTGGGACGTGGGGCCAACACATTTATGTGTCCGTTGCTCTGATCATCAGACGTCTGTGCCCTGCCCGACCGAAACGATTTATTGATGATACAAATCCCAGGGAAAGGATTTTAACCCAGGACTTACGTGCTTAACGCAATGCTAGGTAACGCGTTTAATCTTCTGGTTACGGGGGCAATTCATTATATTGTAGACTTTGTGTTCTTTAATGCCCAGCAAATTATTAGCGTGTTATATTTATGTATTGTCAACAGCGCTTCGAATACATCTAAGTGAGAGTACGCGGGCCCTTCTGGATCAATGGGGAACATTCGTAGTAGAACGGCGTGGCGACGTCGAGTTGAAGGGGCGTGGGCGCATGTTAACCCATTGGCTGGTTCACTGCTCAGAACCAGAAGCACGTCATGTACACGAACCGCAGCCGCCCCCTCAGTACCCCATTTTGTTCCCAGCCATACAACCTCCAATTCTACACACACCATATCTAGTAGTTGAGCCGCCAACACTTGCTGCTTAGTAGATTTTTTTTTGTTTAAATAAACAAGTAATATTAAACCACGTTTTAATTGTTTAAAACGTCCGGCTCTAATTTAATTTAACTTAAGTTTAATTGTTGTTTGAATATAACAAAAACGATGCCTTTTTTTAACATATATATGCTGGTAATTAGATTTTGTGAAAAGTAAATGTTATATGTATATTATGCAATGTTTTCATAATATAGTTAAGACGGTGCATTCGCTTGTTTCACACAAAAATATATTTTGAATATGCTTAAGGACGTTTTAATATAAAAAATTACATACACAATGAACTTCGTCAATTTTTTCAACCCAAATAAATTTATATGGTTAATAAAAAATAATTTTAGCTTTGCCTTTTGTAAAGATAAGTTAATTACATCACTGATTGTCCCATCTCCAAACCAATTAAGATTAAAAGAAAATAAAAAACAAAAGAATAATGTATAATTAATTGGTTATTGTTTTGGAGACAGATTTACATGCTAAATAAGTCAATTTTGACGGTTTAAAAGGCGAATTATATTTGTGAAATTATTTGTAACTACGTTTAACTAACGTTAAATAAATATATTTCTCGTTTTAACCCGTTGAAATTGCTTTATATCCAATCGCTACAGGCAATCGTGTAGAGAGGTATAAGGCCTTAGTTCTTAATAGACTTCTCTATATGTACTAAAGAAGTCTATTAAGAACTAAGGCCTTTTTTATGTTTTTATTCGACTTTAATTTTCTTGTTTTGCAACCTTAAAATTTAAGGTTTTGATATATAATTCAACAAAATTTTTCATTAGTTATCTATATGTAGCTGTTAACGACGAGAAATTTCGAGAATGTTCCTTGTAAGCAATTAATAACGAAAACTCGGCAATCAATCCTAATTTCCATAGGAGGCAATGTAAACATTGCTTTAATTGGTAAAATATTGCGTTACCTTCCCAAACAAATACGTTAATGAAAAAAAATGATTTTTTACGGTAAACAATAATTATATACATTTTGCATGTATTGCCCTTCTTAACATTGTGGATCAGGAATCAAAGCTGTTAATATCAAAGTTTTGTACTTTTATACAATTTACAATTTATATTTTTATACGCATCTTTTCATACTATTGTAATATAAATCTGTGTATAATATTTCACATATATAATTTACTAAAGCGTGTCTCTATATCTATTTCCTAGGATATTTATAGAAATATAAGTTGTATATACATTACAAAGAAGTAATATATAAATGCATGAATTGACAGTCAATTGTTAAAAATAAAATAGCAGTATACTGATGCGAAAATGTAGCTAAAAACACTTTAAACGGTTTAAAACGATAAATAATTATAAAACTATATTTCTTTTAATTCTAACGCTTCGGCTGCATATCAGCATCGGTGGCGAATGAGATACCGCTTTAAATCGTAAAAAGTGAATACTGTCTATATTTTACGCGAGTAGTACACATTTAAATAAAACACTTTAACGGTTTAAAACGCGATATATTAGTTACACTTATTTGAAAATGATTTTTAACTTCGGCCCGACGTTTCGGATGCTTTGCAGCAACCGTGGTCACGAGTCTCCCCGTTAAAAATCATTTTCAAATAAGTTTAACTAATATATCGCGTTTTAAACCGTTAAAGTGTTTTATTTAAATGTTTTATGTTCTTTTTCTCTTTCTCCTCCCTATTTTTATTACTGCAAGTTTATGCGCTAAGACCAACATTGATTATATTGTTGGTACCAACTACAACACTAGGTTATAAAATGTAGCATTTATTTTACTAGATCAATTTTATAAATGTGGAAAGTCTATTGACGTTTAATAAAACTTTAAACTCACATTCTAGTTTTATTTAATTTGACTGGCCGGAAATAACGATTTGATAAAACTTGCGAAAACTACTAGACCTCTTATTGAAAAGCTCGCAAGCGAATACGACTATAGATAAAAAATAACCTATTAAGAGAAAGAGGAAACAGCTGATAGCCTGTTTGTTAGTCAGCGGTGACTGATCCGGCATTTTTACATCCTTCAATGGCTTTTGAAGCGAATCTTTCTCCAATAAACCACTTTCTATAAGTCGCGGTAACCACACTGACAAGGGCTTAACAAATGAAGAGCTCTTCTGCATCCAAACGACTAGAGGCACCACCAAAATGGAGTCAGGGAGTACATAGCCACATTCTTCCTCGGTTATTGCCTCTGCGGAACACAAAGTCCAGGCATATTCCAAGGACGTGGCCATGATGAATTTCTTCTTGCTATTTAAAATATCTCGGAACGTCTGTTCGTATTCCGACTCCGAAATAACTTGGAAACCATTTCGTACGAGCGGATCATGCTCGAAGTACCCCAAGACGCCCAATCTACCTCCATAGCTGAACCCATCGTCCACAGCTTCTTGTAAATTGGTGAAAGTCCCAAGCGTTGTGTCCGTTTTTAATGCACCAATTAGCACGCTCTGATAAGCACTTCTAATAAAGAACGTGAACCAAAGCCACAAGCCGATTATGTAGAAATCTCGGAACCTTCTTGGTGAAACCTTAACTGGTTGTCCCATTAAAACGCCCCACGTTCTCATGGTGATTCCTTGGAGTTTTCCAAAACCTTTGAAATTGCGAAAGCTGAACGCTCTTACGTGTTTCGCTCTTAAGGCATATGGTACAGACTTAACAAAGAATGTCACAACTAGAAGAATAAGCCATAGATAACCATTAAGTGGCACTAGAAGCTTCCACAGCGCTGGTCTGACTGAAGGAGGTGGTGCTATCCATGCGAGACGTATCCTAAAGTATGTAACAGAGAAATCTAGGAGACTCACCTTATCAAATCCCAGTGCAACAGTGGAAGTGGAAATATTGGCTGTACCAGTTATAACATCGCTGAGAGATTCAGACCAATTCGTTGCGCTGTCAGAATCAATGCTGATGTACCTCCTATTTATAATCACAGATGTAAAATTCATTATGTTTTTCAGCAATTCGTGTATCGACCTTTTGATTATCTGCAACGGAATCTTCTTTTCTGTTGCGGGGTGGTATACTTTCGTTGTCGATATGTATAGCGGACAACCGTTCATATTTGACATTTTATCAGGATATAGTTCTTGTGAGCCTGTAGTAATTTTGGTCCAAGTCCCTATAAAAGTGGGCGCTACGTTTGCACAGTCTGATGGATTCTTGTAAGGATAATATGTGTATAAAGCTACCTTACCAGATGTTTTAACAATGATAACGACATTTGTAGCATAAAAATCCCATAGAAGACTGTAAATCTGTTCAAGTCTACTTGGATATGAGAAAAGAACGATCAGAAACTTTGCGCCACTGTGTAAGATAGATTTTCCTTTGAGATCTGGCTTTAGAATCCCTGATAGCTTCACGAAAGAGTAGTATGATTGTATTAGTAATACCACTTGTCTCGGAATATTTTCCATTTTCGCTTCGACCACGACACTTCCACGGTACTGTTGTAGGAATGTACTGGTAACACCTTCATCTACGTCGCTGGTAATGACTATAGTCTGTCGTCTGTGTTCAAAGTTACTGTTGGCTATATCAGCTGCCGCGGAAATTATGTCATTCGTTTTTTCATTTTGACTTATTTTTATAATCGTGCTCTGTATCGACGGCGTTATGAGGAGCATATATAAAAACATGTTTTTTTAGTCTGAAAGCGTTATTGTCTTGTATTGTACAAATCCGTTTTAAATGGCGAGACAGTTAAATTGCGAAGCTTTTAAAACTATTAATCAACTACCTAAAAGAATTGAACGCATATTCGAAACAAAGAACAAACGTTGATAAATGATAGTCTTTTGTATTTGCATACTTTGTAGCTTTTAAAACGCAATTTGGGAGTGAAGTTTTTTTATTCTATGCATTCCTAATATGTTTCTATTTTTTAAAGGTTTCAAACTATATGTATTTGTTAGGTAATTCATGTTAACTATGACCCCTTCACCTCTTCCTTTCCCCAGACCATAGGTGCTGTAAAGCTTCTTAAACGTCTGGTTCTGGATAAATATGATTAAAGTAATATATTTCGCATTTTAAACTGGTAAAAGTGTTTTATTTTATGTATAAACTCATGGTGTTGTTCATATTTTTAAATGGTTATTGGTTTCTCCTAAATCAATATACAGTATGTTTGTATGTCTATACATGTCGAGTGACCACGTAACCGCTCGTTGCTTAGCAACGGGTAATAGTAACAAAAAAATTTAACATAGATACATATTCTTTTTGTTTAAAGTAGGGATTTGTTAAAGTATATCTTGGAAGCATCATTATTTTTTAGTTAGCATAAATACAGATATGCTGTGTCTTCTATTTTTAATGGTATTTCGAGTGGTCGGGATTAAGACGCCTGGCAGCTGCAGTGGTGGACAATTTTACGATTCAAACACAATGGAGTGTAGATCTTGCAATGCTAATGTTTCGATGGTTCCAGCACTTGACGGTAAAAGCTTATTAATATAACTAACTCGGGTAGTTTATGCAAGTAGTTCACATTTAAATGAAACACTTTAACGGTTTAAAACTCGAAATATATTGGTTAACTTGTTTAATTTTTTATCGACGTAATTTAATCAATAAAGTGCGCCTTTAAAATCGTTATAAGTATTTTACTTTAATGACAATAACTAACGAAAGCGAATGTCACATTTGCTTTCACCAATTCCTTATTTATCGTGTAAACTGACTGATTTTCAATAAAAGATTTGTCATTGTTTCGGCTCGAGTTGTATTTTGTCTGATATTCTTTACGATATACTGGCGTTTGATATCTAGGTTATATTTGTTTGTCTTAGGATTCGGTTGTACTTGCGCAGCTGATAGTATACCAAAGGGTATATCAAGTTGCAAGCAATGCAACGCAACTGAACTAATATCGGCTGATGGCACTACTTGCGTGCCTCGACGTTGCCAGAAGTCCGGTAGTCGAGTTGTATGCAGGAGATGTCCTAACGACTACATAGCTGGTAAGCTTAGGGAATAAATATCAAAGTTAGTTCTATTTTATCGATATGACAGATATTATATGATATGAACGGGTGATAACACACCAGCCAACCAGAAGACCAGAAATAAGAAAGGCTTTATGCTAAAAATATTATCACGATGCAAGAAGAAGAAACGGGGAGAGTAATTCATCTCTAAGGGTATCCGTTCGCTTGCGCTGTGAAAACAGTATAAGGTAACTAAAAAATAGGTACGAAAGAATGAATTCCTCTCTTAAATTGTCAAAAAAAATCTCCGAAAGTATAGGTCCTTGTTTTAAGATTTACTTGCAAAAGTGACGGCCGGAAGCCGACGGCATTGGTAACAGCCATAATTTATAAAGATGAGGAAGTTTGCAAAAGGAAATTATGATGCCCAAAATAAATATTCAGCGCGGACGAAGTCGCTGGCACAGCTTGTTATTAAAAAAAAAACTAAGCAAACTATCCATTTATTCTCATTACAGTGACTCAGAACTTCGACGGATCACCGATGAAAGAAGTGACATGTTTCAAATGCCACCGCGGCTATAAAGTGGCGAATAATAAATGCGTAAAATGCGAAGAATGCGCATGTGCCCGCTACGAAGTGGCCGTGAGCGGCAAGTGTTTGCCAAAGAAGTACGTGATGGAGCGCCCCAAATATAGTGAGAATAAGTTACATCCGTCTGCGCTACTGGATATTGTTAAGTTGGAATACTTGTGCACTGTAAGTTGAAACGCAGAATGCTTATGCTGCTGCCGCTGCTGCTTAGTTTTATATGTATATTCAAGCTTAGCTTAGCTTAGCTTTTCATAATTCTAAATGATAAGGGCTGTTCACCCTTAACATTATTTTTATTTTTATACGTTTTTTTTAAATATTGTGAATAAAAATTACACTTTTTACACTAAACCTAATTTTTTAATAGCCATTTTAGTAATTTAATCTGTTTTCATCCCGCTCGATAATTGATCAAGTATCACTTGCTAAATTATCTCCCAAGTACGGAGTTGTGATAATAATAAAGCCGGTCTAAAAAAAAACCACAAACAAGGAAATCCATAAAAATAATTTATATAGTAAAACGACGTTTGCCGGATCAGTTAGTATATATGTGCAATACATTATAGTTTTACACTTATATATGCCAGCACATATGTATTTAACTTACAATTTAAAAATCAAAAAACTCGACTCGGGCAGGACTTGAACCGGCATCGACAGCGTTCCGTGCTGTTGCTCTACCGACTCCTACACCTCATCGCCGAATTTTTTTAACTTATTGATACATGCACCTCTCGCGCAATGTAATTTCAACCTTAACACTTGCGTATTAAGGTTCAACGTCTTATGTTTTGCAGCTTAAGAAATCATTGAATATAACGTTTGAAAACTTTAATATTTTTTACATGTTATGGAGGCATGTATATATATATATATATATATATATATATATATATATATATAATGTAAAAACCGATAATAGCTCAACAAAAATTTTCTACTCGAAAACACGAACACAGAAATTATACATACTCAGACCAGCTCTAACTTTCACCATTTTTATAATAGAGGAAGACATACAGGTAGGGGGCTAGCTTCATATAATCTGTTATACCCAAGCCATAGAACATTTCCCCAGACCAAACCTGAACATAGAGACGTGACTGGACCCGGAACGCGAATAAACTACAAAACATACATCTGTTGACGGTGGTTTGATATTCCTATTACTATAAATGTGCTGTACATGTATAGTACCTTTAATTATAACCTAGCTTCATTCGCTTATAAGAACTCTAAATAAGGAAATTTATAGGGAGATAAGAAGTGCGATTTTTCATGTAAATATTCGAAGATTCATAGATCTCTCCAGAGAATTGACCCTTTCTTTTTGATTTCATTAAATTTCACCGCGAAATATCACATGAAAGAATTACCAACCACACTATTTATTTGTAATATTAGTTTTAAATATGAATCAAGTCAAATAATGTTCCGATTTCAATCTCAATGTCGCATTACTGTTTTGTATCTGGCTCGGAGGACCAAAAACGCTAACCATTAATTAAACAATAGACTTATTCGGCAGGGCATTATAGATAGTTACTGGCGAATTTTTGTTATCTATTAGTTGCAACTATATAACAAAATATTCATAGTTAAATAAAACACTTTAACGGTTTAAAACGCGATATATTAGTTAGCAACTAAGGTATTAACTAATATATCGCGTTTTAAACCGTTAAAGTGTTTTATTTAAATGCGTACTATTTGCGTAAACTAAAGACAGTATTTAACATTCATAGTATCAACGCTATCTGTGAGTTTATGTGTGTATATTTTTATACTCTAGATTATATAATATTAAAGTTAGTCTGTTACTAACCGCCACGCTAGTTATGTTAATTTTTAACAGCGCTTAATTAGCTTATTTCACATAACTTTTCCCATAAAAAAATATCTAAAGTGGTCGCCTGAATTCAACCGATGTCTCCAATAGATAATAATAAAAAAACTTTTCAGCAATCCGACATTCGCGCCTGCCATGCGTTATCAAGAGAATGTGTGAGATACTACTATCCCAGCGATTTAGCGGGCCCTTGCCGCATTTGGATTCAACAAAATCTGACTAAGCTTGCAGGTATGGATCCTCAAACATAATGCAAACATTGGGCTGCCTATATCTTTAGTATATCTGTTATCTATTCATGATGATCGTGTTTTTAATGAAACACTTTTACTGTTTAAAACGCCAGTTACATTAAATTTATTTAATATCTCGTCCGAGGGTCTCCCCGTGACCACGGCTGCTGCAAAACATCAGAAACGTCGGATCATAGATAAAATAAATTGCAAAAAAGTTCAACTAATATATTTCGCGTTTAAAGCCGCTAACGTTTTTATTTAAAATGTGTACTACTCGCGTAAACTACAGATAGTGTTTGATATTAGAAATGTTTTTAAATATAAAGGTTTTAGTTTAGAGGGTAGTACACTCGATTACATATCATGAAGTACAAGGTTCGAATCCCGGTTTGAGTAACTGTTAGTTCAGTATGTAGAATTAAAAATGCAGTCTGATTGGAAAAAAGGAAGTGTCATAAAACCACACTCTTCGAAGAGAACGTTAAGCCATCGGCCGCAGTCAATAATTAAAAACAATTAATTTTAATGTCTTAATACAATGACATTTTAGTAGTACATAGGTTAGTCACTGTATAATACCCCAGTCATATAACATTCGGATATTCCACAGACTATAATCAAAGCGTGATTAAACTTCACGGCTTTTTACCTGTGGTCGATGGTTCGTGGACCCGGGTGGATTTGATATTCCTACCACCCATTTTATATCCAGATTTCCCATCGATGTCAAACATCATATCGTTGTCATTCGGGCTGTTCGGGCGACATGAGCGAGAAGAGGTTCTCGACGTTTGATGGACGGCATTATCAGGAGATGTTAACTCCTCGATTGCTCGAAGAACCGCTTCTCGCTCACCTCGCCCGAAAGACAATGATATGCTGAACGATGGCCGTGAAAGCCTTACGAAATTTATGAAGTCGAACATCTTTCGAAGATTATAAAATGATTAGTAACATATTGAACCCGGTGGGGAACGAACCCATCAAGTTAATATAGTATACTTGTAGTATTATTTTGCGTAATAATGGCTCTATCAATCTTATGTCAGCGATGTTCAAACATTTTTGACGTCAGCAAGTTCATATTAAAAGTAATGTTTGCGTTCGGTTGATACGCAATAGGTTCCTATTACTTATTATATCAAAGACGATCGTGTCAAAAAATACTAAAATGAAAATTGTAAATTTACTTAGTAGTTTACAGGAACACTGCAGTCTTGGGTTCAATTCTTGCACGTATTCAAAACGTAAAAAAAATGTTAATTTACGCAATATAATATTTATATGAAAATCGTAGACTTAGTAGTGTTAAGTCAAAAATTTATGTAATTTTATACGTAGCAGCTTAGTCTGTCAAAGCAGTACGGAACACTGTGGTGTTTGGTTCAAGTCCTGCCCGTGTTCATTATTTTCAATAATAAAAATATACCCTCATTGACACAAAATAATACTAATATCAAAGTCATAGACATAGTAGTAATGAGAATAGGTCGAAAATGAATCATACTTTTTGCATAGTAAATGAGTTGATCAAAGCAACAGTATGGTAAACTGTGTCGTGGGTTCGAGTCCCGCAAATTTTGAAACATTTTTTTTATCTACCAATTGGTAAATATATCAAAAGTTACGTTTCACGACTTGGTTATAGATCTTCCACAGCTGAATTTGGACTACAAAAACAAGAACAACATAATCAACTTGAAGCATGGACAGGTAAGCGAATTACTTAAAATTAGGCCAAACCAATTCCTTTGATATTCGTTACTAAATCACGTTAAATGAATAAAAAATATATCTTAAGACCAGACGAAATAAAAATGTTACAGTGTATTTATAACACAATATTTCAGGATACATTATTAATAGGTACAGCGTCTTATTCTCCCTCGGGAGCGCTGAAGTTACTCGGAGACGAAAAACAAAGTATATTCCCATGTCTTCCACCGTTGAATATCAGAGTTGGGCAAAGATGTAGGTATGAAAAATGTACATAGTTCTTATAAGATCAATTCGTTAAAGGTAGAGAAAGAAAAATAACAAAAAATAACCGACTTCAAACAGTAAATTAAAGTATAAAATACTCATTGATGAATGACTAAAAAAGAAATAATATTTTATAGTTTTCCTTGCCAACAAAAGAATATATTAAAATTGGTTCATAAACCGAGAAGATATTTGAGACCAAACATTTCAAAGTTTTATGAGAGTTTCAAGAACCTGGCTTTTTAAGGTTACTTAAGATGTACGTTTCCTCAAAGTTCTACTTACTTCACTTTTTCTATACAAGGTTTTTGTGTGTTTAAACATTGATTTTGTTGTTAGCGGAGGAAATTATATATTATCATATATAAAAACCTACATGTCGTTTAAAAACTTCAAATTTTTCAAAATAATTACGTTTAAATAAAACACTTTAACCAACTTTAACAGCCGTGGTCACGGGGCGACGGCTGCTGCAAAGCATCCGAAACGTCGGGCCGAAGTTAAAAATCATTTTCAAATAAGTTTAACTAATTTATCGCGTTTTAAACCGTTAAAGTATTTTATTTAAATGTGTACGACTCGCGTAAACGATAGACGGTATTTAAAATAATTACGATTAAAATCTAACGATGAACGTGTAGGCGTGTAGCTCAGTTGCTTAGAACTTCGAGCAGCAGCGCGGATGCCCGTTCAACTCCCGCCAGTTACGTAACATTTTTAAATCTAAACAGATTTTCAGTCGGTATGAAGTTTATAAAAGATTTCTTTTCTTTACAGTTTCAAGTGTACAAAGAATATAACTGATATTGATTGGGCTAATGGCAAAATTTATGAGCTGTATCTACCAAGCAATACTTATAAGCCGCTGCCGATAAAAATTTATAAGCCTGATAGCAATTCCGTCCAGGTATGATATATGTTTAATATGTACCATTTAAAAAAAATATATTATAAGTCAAATAAATTTTACTCTCAAAGGAAATAACTGAATAGTATCTAAAAAATAATAAAAATGTAATTTAATATCGTTTAATCATTTGAGCAAAGCTCTTTGTTTCATGAATTGAGGCTCTAGGAGCCAAAGTAGCCTATCTGCAATTGTATGACTTGACTTATCAAAATTAAAATGTTAATCTACAAGAGTGACCGAAAATTGTTTTGCCTAAGTTGATTGCACATTTTTATTTTTTCCTTATTGAAAATCATGTCTTTTGTTATTAGGCCGCTCTGGCTCCAGTGACGTCAATTATAATTGACATCTTATTATTTATGTGGTGCTTAAATTGACCGAAAAAATTTAAAGATAAGAGTTTTCGCTATCATTCTTTGCCTTCCGTCCGATTCTCGCCTACTCCAGCGTCGCCTTTGCCCACAGGCTCCAGGTGCTTCAGAATCGGTTCTCTCGAACCGCTACTGGAGCCATCTGGTGCGTGCGGAATGCAAATCTTCACGCCGATCTCGAATTGCCGACCCTCAATCGGTACTTCAATCAAACGTCCGAACGTTTCTTTAAAATAGCCGCGACGCAATAGTTGATCAGACTTCGGTGCCCTGCCCGACCGAAACATTCTTTTTGTTTCCCTGGGCTTAGAACCCAAGACCTCTCGCGCTCAACGCAATGCTAGGCAATACGTGTATATACTTATAATACATACATATTATTTTACAGAAAGCATCTTGGCCTACATCGAAGTTTAGTAGATTTTTCTTAATTGATAATATTCTCTCTACAGCAACAAACATGACTACGGTGCGATATTTGAGTAAACTCATCGTAACTTTACAGTAAGTAAATACTCAAGTTACTTACAGAATAAATATTTTTAAACGGATCGTACGAAATTGGTTCGCGTGGAGTAAAACAAAATTGAAATAAAAATATAAGATATCTAGACAAATAGTCTAGAATAACACCGTGGTAGTCTGGAAATTTATCTGATTTAAACAAAACACTTTAACAGTTTAAAACGAGATATATCTTAGTTACCGGGCGGCACGTGACCACGGCTGCAGCAAAGCATCTGAAACGTCGGGCCGTAGTTAAAATAATTGTCGAATATGTTTGACTCATCAACGTCGCGTTTTAAACCGATAAATTGTTTTATTTAATTGTAAAGTAAGTGTACTACTCGCGTAAACTACAGACAGTATCTATCTGATATCATGAGTACGAAGTTTGATGCCCGTTTGTGGTCAACAACTATCTTATACATAACATAATATATAACTGCCCCCGTAAACCATTAATTAATTAATGGTGATACATACAAGTGAAAAACAGAGGATTTTATTATCATAACATACGCCTTATAAAAAAAAATTAACGGTGTAAAATGCGAAATATATTTGACTATAAGCCGATTTGATTTAATTGAGGAACACACTCCATTTCGAACCCTATCGTGACCACTGCTGCTGCAAAGCATCAGAGACGTCGGGTCGTATTTAAAAGAAATTAAAAATAAATTAGCTAATATATTTCACATTTCAAACCGTTAAAATTGCTTTATTTTTTTCTGTCTTAGTTGCGTCAATAATAGCTATTTACTGTTGTACTTAATTTTACAGGATAGAAAGAAAGTCAATCAACTCCTTAACATTAAATATTCGGACTGAAGTATTCTATGCTATTAAATCTCCACTATCAGATGTAATAACTACCCAGCTGATTGTGGAAAATGAGATGCCATCCGCCGGAGTGCTACGCGGAATAGAAGTCAGTATTTTTCATATTATAGTATTTGACTAATGTATTAAACAAATTGGTCTATACTAATGTATAAAGCTGAAGAGTTTGTTTGTTTGTTTGATGTTTGAACTCGCGACGCTATTACGTCTATCTTTTAAGCTACACTAATTACACTTACAGCTAATAAATAAATAATCTCTTAAATTCTCTGAGCTCAGCAATGTCATGAAATTCGATTTCCAATTAAACTACTGTGTGAGTCCATAGTAATGTCATTTAAATTCGCTTTCCATTTAGATTACAAAAAAATCAAAGCAAAACTCCTCATAATTGTCGACATCCTAAATGAGATTAAAATACTGTAGACGGTTTTTTTAGTAATAAAAATTGTTTACCTTCCGTTAGATGCCACTACCCTTATATGTAACAAGTGCCGACTTATATGTGACTTATAAGTGTAGTTATGTTATACAAATTCTTAGAAACGACTATACTCAAATTTTTATAAGTTATTATGTGTAACTGCTGCCAGGGCCGGTAAGGATGTCTGGAGGTAACAAATTAGTGGGAGCTTCCTACCTCCAAAATATTCTGTTATTATTAAAAAATAATATAATAATGTTTGTATTATTAAAACTTTTAGTACGTTTACTTCGGTCACGCAAACCTCTCTTATACTGTCTATAGTTTACGCGAGTAGTACACTTAAACTTATTTGAAAATGTTTTATATCTAATATATCGAGTTTTAAACCGTTAGTGTTTTATTTAAATGTGTACTACTCGCGTCAACTATAGACAGTATTACGTTGTACGACTTTATCTTAACGTTTCTTGTTTTGTCGCAATCAAGAATATTTGTATTTGTGTTTGTAAACTACTGTAGACAAAACAGTGGAGAAACATCAGGAAAATTTGGTTACTATTATTTACTGGACAAAATTAAAAAACAAGCCAAAATTTTTAGTTTATTTTAGTGATCACGTTTTTTTGGCCACGGTTTCCCGTGGTCAAAAAAACGGTTTACTGGTCTCCACTGACGCAGCGATTTTTTTTAAAGTGGCGGTCTTTTCCTTAATCATTATTACTGTTGTTATTATTTTAATCTACAGATTTGGGGAGGAATCCTCAGTGCCTTGCTGTGCTTATACGCACTTGTTCAGTGGCGCGCTGTCGTTCGTAGAGGTGGTCTGCAAGTCTCTATAATACCTCTGTTAGCAGCCGCTTTAGCTGATGGACTTTATTGCGTAAGTAAAAAAATGTAATGTTATCAACTTATCATCTACTTAACAGATAGCAAGTATTTGACTTTGTGCCAACGTACAAGCTATCTTCCTTTTGGATATAACGATATTTTTTTATATTTCATTATATATATTATATAGGAACCGTAAGGTGCGTAGTTAGTTTTAAATTTTAATTAATATATATATATATATATATATATATATATATATATATATTAAACAAAACTTTTGTAACAATTAAAAATAATAATAAAACCCATCCTATTCTGTAATATTAGTTATTTAAAAGTATCAATTATTTGTATTGATTCTACAACCCGATGGTTCTATCTATTGCTTTATAACGAACCAACTTATACATATTTAAATAATGATGTCATTTCCAATAGGAAAGAATTGTACTTTGTGATACGCCAGAACCAGAACTTTACGAAATTCGTAGATGATGCTACGGCGTTGACGTACGAGTAATATTGTACATTAATGGGTTGACAGATGGCGTTAGTTGTTTTTATGTCAACGGCTATACATTTTTAATAATTACTAACAAATAAAATTATCTGTTTTAATAAATTAAGTTGTATAAGTACAAGTTGCAGATTGTGAAGTTCGATTACTCCTCATGCTACAAAATATTTTTCTAAACACCTGCTCTCTCGGGTAAACAACAATAATATACAAGATGTGCCGTCAACGTTTGTTTGCCTTGGATATTCGAAAATCTACAGACTGCAACCAAAATGCGATTAAACTTGACAGATTTTTCATCTGTGGACGGTGTTTCGTGAACTGAAGTCAAACACGTTACAGAACAATTATAAATTGATTAGACAAATGTCGGATCCGGTGGTAAATCCCCACCGGATCCGACATTTGTCCCACGACCCCGTTGATTATCATTCACTATCCTTAGGTCATTACACCAATTGAGGTGCTAATTATTCTGTATTTTCCATCACTCCATCATCATTAACAGGCCTCAAAAAGTTAAGCAGAAAGCAGTCAGATGTAAACAAAAAGCGATATTTTTCTTTCAGGCCACATTCTTCTCAACTCTCCACGCTTTGGCCGGCGAAGCTGGAACGCTTGGAATAACGTTACCTCTATCTCAAATAGAAGAAGATGCGATAAAAGCAATTGTCTTTTCAGTGGTCGCTCTAAAGGTATGCTAGGTTTTGCACACGGCCGTGGCTCGATGGCTAAACGCGTTGCCTAGTTATGTTAAATAGGTCCTGTAACCCCGCGAGTGCAATAAATAACAGTTTTGGCAGTGGGCTGAAGTCTGATCAATTCCTTGTTTTTACACTTTACACACAGCTAAAGAGTTTATTTGTTAATTTAAACACGTAAATTTTAACACGTGCGACCAATACAAGCGCAAAACAGGAGGTAATGTGGAAAATTATTCATAAAATTTCGTTAAAACACTTCATACGACAAAAGAACATATGCCTGGTCAGCTATATAAATCGGAGAAATAGACACAAAATTGTGTTCGCTATATGCCCCACAGGAATAACGGAATATTCTTTAAGATTAAAGATATTAATCTGATTTAAGATATTGCTCGACAACCTATTCTCGTGTCACAGTTTTAGTTCCCATACTCCTCTGAAACGGGTTGACCGATTTTGATGATTTTTTTTGTACTTATCCGGTATCTATGAGAATCGGCCAACAGCTATTTTTCATCCCCCTAAATGTTAGGGGTAGTCCACCCCTAATTTTTATTTTATTTTTTAGGCAAAATTTTAAATTTATATTTTTTTATGATACAATATACAAAAATACATACAATCCTCAATTCTCACCCTTCTACGATCAACCCTTATTATATAGCAAAACAACGTTTGCCGGGTCAGCTAGTAATTATTCGTGTTTATGGTTATTTCCTTAATTGCTCTACGATCTAAGAAAAGCTGTCATCTTTCTAATTCTCGATGGAAAAGAAAGAGAAGCAAGAAGCTCGCAAAATAAATTTCACGTATTTTATATGATGTCTGAATATTTTTTAATTTTAGGCTATCAAAGTAATATGGATAAACAGAAACCATTGCAACTGTGACATATTCTTCATTGACTGGACTATTTATAATCCCTCCATCGCAGGTAATCAAATAATTGTCTTTCTGTATAACTGATTCCAGCATGTGTACATCTTAAGGATGTAGCAGGTGTTGTTCCTAGTTTGCGAGAGTAGAAGACATTAAAAAAAACACCTTAACGGTTTAAACGTGGCCACGGTGAGATCACGGCTACTGTAAAGCATCTGAAATTTCTACATTTCTGATGTTGTACCATAGTTAAATAAATGTTAAGAAGTGAATTTTTCACGTTTTAAACCGATAAAAGTATTCTATTGTAAAATTTAGTAGCCTTAGATAAATCATTATTTCCAATATACCTACATTTTAAACGTTATTTTCCATTTAGATTCTTATAATACGAAGAGCAAATGGAGAGCCATACTGCTGGCTAAAGAATGGATGGAATGCCAAACTAAGCGAAGAACCACGCCGTTAGCAACAAACATAAGTGCTATTTTGGTTATATATGTAAGTTATGAATTGTTTTGTATTGAAGTAGAGCAACAGCTCGGAGCGTTGTGGTCGTTAGTTCGAGTCCCATTACTCAAACCCAATTATTTCCTGGAATCATAAATAGATGAATGATATTATATCAAAGAACTGCTATAAAGTACTGATTACTGTATTTTTCATTTCACAGGTTCTAGACATGCACCAGTACATTCCCAAAAGTGACGGTTACACTTGGGTCGTTGCCGTGATAGTGTGGTGGTCGACATATATCGCAAACTATACAATAAAATGGGCGATGTACCGATTTGTATCTCCTCCCACGGCTTTGTTGAAGGTCTGCAGAGGAGTAGATATATCGCTACTGGTTTTCCAGGAAGAGTTTTACGCACACTATGTCCACGGAAGGTATAAACTAGCCTGGTATATTTTAACTGTTTAAAACGCGATATATTAGTTATATTAGTTGGTCTCACCGTGACCACGGCTGCTGCAAAGCATCCGAAACGTCGGGCCGAGGTTAAAAATCATTTTCAAATAAGTTTAACTAATATATCGCGTTTTAAACTGTTAAAGTGTTTTATTTAAATGTGTACTACTCTTGTAAACTATAGACAGTATTTTTCACTTCTTTTTCATGTGTGGACGGTGGTTCAGCATAATTATAAATTGAAAAATTAGAAAAATATTAGACCCGGCTGGGATAAAACCACGACCCGTTGATTATTAGCCATAGGTACATTGTTAGCATGGGACTTACGAGCTCGTGGTAACACTTTATATTGTTCGAGATAACATTGTATTTCCTAATTTTCAGAAATGAAGAGATTGACGGTACCATGAAAGTACTAGGGCCCATGGCGTCCTGTCGAATTGTATGTGCAACACAAGTAAGGTAAAATAGATTTTTAATTAATGTATAGCCCTTTGAATCATCTAATGAAGAATACTAAATAAACCGTTTATATCTGATAAAAATGTACTGAATAATACTTTTTTTATTTTTTTTCATAATAACTTTATGAAAAATTTATTCATTCTTTGTGATGTGTTCAAATGCATGTAGATTATCTTTTTATGCGTCTTTCCCTTTTCTGTGTGTTTACTATTCGACTTTATTTACAGACAACTGCTTAATCGACTATAAGTAAGCGAGGACCATAAAACAATATATACAATTTAAAAATCTATTTTAAACTGAATAAAGCTACGACACGTGCGGCTACTCTAACCGATTGAGCTACCGTGTCCTATAGATTCTCGCCGATTTTTTTAACCTTTATTTATAAGTGCAACTCTCGTACAATGTAATTTCAAACTTAATCCTAAGTAATTAAGGTTCAAGGTCGAAAATGTTCAAATACCGCCCATGTCGTAAACTGTTTGCAGTTTATATACATTTTTAATTTATATAATGGCATCATGTGCAATAAAATTTAAAAATATTTAAGTTTTCTCACAATATTTTATTAATTCCTTAATTATTAAAATTACACAAATCTTAGCGATTCAATTTGTGGTAATTGGCTGAAAAGATGTGTCTGTTACCTGCGCTTCTCTTTATCGCCTTATGAGTGATGTGATAGACAAGAGGGATGAAATGTACATGTGTCACTTTTGTACAATACTACTAATTAATAGGGAGGACGGCCTCAAATTATCAAACACCTGGGATCCCATACTCAAACTCTGAATCCCAATAAACAGCATACCGGCAAACGCGAAGACACCGTTAGTCAATTCTGTAAGGACCCGGCCAGTTTCGCCAAATACCAACTTCGACGGAACAGATGGCAATTTTTTACTTTGACATCCTCCATTTTTAGTCTCCCCGTGACCACGGCTGCTGCAAAGCATCCGAAACGTCGGGCCGAAGTTAAAAATCATTTTCAAATAAGTTTAACTAATATATCGCGTTTTAAACCGTTAAAGTCTTTTATTTAAATACTACTAATTATGTTTACCAGGGATTAGAACCCAGACCATTTGCATATACCCAATGAGTCTAAGAGTGTTAAGATATTTTAATATTTCAGAAATGTATACAAAAAACTGGCGAATAGTGGAATCGGTATGAACTTTTGTTATTAAGTTTATTATATTATCTCCTTAATCGATAAACGAGTCCTTTATAATCCTATACTTTCAGTTCTATATCCGGAGGAGGGTGAATCAAATCAGATTCTGTTATCGAGATTTTTGTCAGCGTTTTTTGAAAGGGTACGTATATAACTATACACTCTGGAATATTCATAATTCTCTCATAATAATATAGTACACCGAAATGTTAATGAAATAGAAAAGGTATTTTGGAAAAATTATAATAATCATGGGGCCACATGGATCTCGGACCCACAAGTACCAGCGTTCCGTGCGGTTGCTCAATACAATTAAGTTGAATTAAATTTCATATAACTTTTAAACTATCTGTGAACACTTTAATATTAATCACGTGCATAATGGCTCTATATAAATTCAACATCGATTATGAATTGAAAAATTTAGAACAACAGCACAGAACGCTGTGGATGTCGGTTGGAGTCCTGCTCGTGGCGTAATTTTATAAAATTCATTGTCGATTTTTAATTTATCTGTGAATATTTTAAGGATGCAGTCTTTCTATGTATATGTAGTCTATCTGTCTGTTTGTTTCCTTTTACGAAATAAATAAGCTTGTCATCAATTAACGTTCAGTCTTTACTTTCTCGACTTTTATATAATCTATATATCTATTACATATCATCGCAGTTTTTATACAAAAAACAAAAACAAATGATGAATTAGTACAGCGCGCGCGGTAAACTGTTTGTCATGCGTTCTTTTATAAAGATATGTTCTCATGCGCATTTGAATTAAAATTACAAGTCACAAAATTGAAACAAAATTACAGTCTATCTGTAATCTACTAAATGTCAACTTCTCATAAAATTATCGGCAATTGTAGGCACTAGATGGATTAAGCTGGGTGGCAAACGAACGTACACTATTGGAGAAGTTACTCGATGTGGAATTAACAAACAGGGAGGGCAGTAACATCAGTACTCTCTTGTACGATATTGATGATGATACTCCGTCGTGTTTGGCAGTGACATGGTAAACGCCGTCATATTATTATTTTATTAAATAAAACACTTTTAACGATTTAAAACCCGAAATATTAGTTAATCTATTATGGTCATCGAAAACGCGGATCGTAGTTAAAGTAAACGTTAGCTTCGCGAAATTTACAGATACTAAGTTTTTTTTTATGTATACACACTAACCTAAAACCAAAGCAAAGCTTTTAAAAAGGCAAAAAATATAATTAGAAAACTTACACCGTGAAAACTCATGGTCTCTTTCTCCGAGGTGTTTCTTTTACGACTGCCTAATTTCATACATACTAGTGTACTACACACGATTCATAAAAGTTTAATTTTTTTTACATAAGTGACTGTAAAAATGACTACACTGAAAGATTAATTTACGATTTCTAATTACCATAACATCGAACAGGTGGGGCGAAGAGCACACGCTGGCAACATTCGAAGCGATGGTCTTCGGTTGTGTGTTGCTAGCAACAAGAGAAATATTAGTTGCTGCTTCGGTTACGATTTTCGTTTGGCAAGTATGTGTTTTATTGTGTATCAGCATACTAAATTATATGGGGAGGATTTTAAAGAAAATGTGTGTTCTTTACGTTCGTTACGTACGACATGATGAACGCATAGATATCTTGTGTCATTGACCAATTTTATTTACAGCTACATTCTAGAAATTGTTTGAACCATTGAGCCATGGAAACACCTGTAAATTATGAATACAACCTTTACTATAGCAATAGTAAAACATATTTACGAAGTTTTTATAAATCATATATAAATTTAATTAAGAGTTTAGATTTGTTTTTTTATTTTACTTTTATTATTTTGTAAAGTATACAATACACATTCCACTATATCATCATACATTATTCTTAGTTTAATAACTCTTATAGTTTAGTCCGTTAAAAGTTTGTAGTTTAAAAATCGAAAAAAAAAATTAAAAACTTTTTGACTCGGGCAGGACTTGAACCCGCATCGTTGCTCTGTAAACGTTCAAGTCCTGCCGAGTCAAAAAAAAAATTATTTTCGATTTTTAAATGATATAGTGCCTTCGTGTGCAAAATAATAAAGTTTGTAGTTGTTGTTACCTTTTCTCCCCGGGGGTGCACTGAAAACCGGCGCTTCTCCTCTTCTGCGGGTGGTGAAGCACATGCCGAGTGCTTTTCCTCATTTCACAAGCACTCTTCCAAGTTCCTATTTTTTTTTCTTCTTCCTCTTTTTTATAATTATTAATTATTTAAACCTAATATTTAAGTTATTTATTCTGTCTTGTGAAATAAATGTTTTGAATTTGAGTAAGTTCTATTTCTTTTCAGGCAATGAAACAAGTGCGCCTTTGGTTCTCCTACCGAAATCTTACCCAAAAAACCGGTATCGAAATATAAATATTAGAATGAAATTTAAATGGACAAAAGTTATGCTCCAAGTATGCTTGATATTACTTTACATAACATCAGCGAAAGCACTAAAATTTACCACAAGGCGCAGTAAAATTTCGCATAAAGATAAGGCTTTCACAACAAAGTCTAATGTTTCAATAGCTTTGAGAAAACCCGCTGGCCCTTTTTACAATTTCATAATCAATATTTGTGACGCTCTATTAGAAGACTTCACTGACTCCAGATTACCCAGATATATGAAAGCGCTGAGCAAGAGTTTAAAACAACAAGGCTCCGGATTTTTATTAAAGTTACTGCTCAAACGATTCTCTAAATACTTACTCAAACTATCATCGTACACGGCAAGAATTATTAAGCCAAAGATTCGAAGATTCAAAGAACTGATATCCGAAAGGAAACGATTTCGTAACGAACTATTCGTAACTCTAAACAGCATATTTGATATAAATCATGATTTCAAAATGGACGATTATATTTATAAACTAAAGAAATACGGGTATAGGCGACGAGATCATATCAATAGAATAACAAAAAATGTATTTAAGAAAGTTATATTCGATACAATTAATAAACAGGAAGAAAATAGTAGAGATGCTATTCAATTGAAATTCAAATTAGCTGTAATCGAATATATGGAGGACGGAGGACGGATTTAAATGAAAATAAAACAGTTAATTGATTTGCATACCGTGAAATCGTTAAGCTAACAGAGTTAATCCGCTTCGAAATTAAAATGGCGGTCCGCTTATGTGTACAGTTTATTCTGGCTGTTGTTTCAATTGATGCGTTTTCCGGTCAAATAAATACAACATACGATAACAGTCTAGACGTAACAAATCAAAACATCGCGAGATCTAAATCTATTTTTGAAACATTTCTAAAACAACTAGTCGACATACTGATAGCAGATTTCGCGGAAAAGAAGCTCAGGAGGTACTGTAGAATTTTATACGAGCAATTAAGGTATTCCGAGTATCGATACGGGAGGAAATTCGCGAAACATTTCAAACATTTATCGCGTATGTACCACGACGAACTATTAGAGGAATTAGAGTTCTATCGACGTGAACTTGATAAATCAATGCAACATAGGACAGAATTCTTCGAAGCGATAAATGAAGCTTTTACTCTTCAGCAGGAGATCTTGTTCGCTGATTATTTGTACGATTTAAGAGATTACGGTAAAGAAGATAAGTTATTTATTCACGAGGAAACAAGGAAGCTGATAAAAAATGTTATTATAGAAAGTATTCTAAAATTAAGTGCAAAGTCACAAAATGATATTGCAACAAAATTGAGGAGAGCCCTAAAGGAATTTAAAGCTTAAGATAAAGAAAAGGTTAAGAGTTAAAAATGACTTCGTTACTTATTGTTTAATTATATGTATATACTAATTGTCAATACTTTTTAAGATTTGTTGTTTTAAAATAGGAAATAAAACACTATTTTATTGTGTCATATTAACAAACATTATTCCTACTTTTCTCATAAACTTTATCTTTTCTATTTACTACGTATTCGTGGAAATCAGAATATTTAAATGTAATAATGTGTTGTGAAAATACATCGTTTTGGTTCATTGCACGGTCTGACTTAAACAATACAATTTAATAATTTCTCCTAGTAAGTATTGTACGTCATAAAAAAATATGAATAAAAATCGTAGGTTTTTGGTACAGAACATATTGTTAACTATGGGACTAATACGTGATCTTTGCAAATTCAATAATAGCACAGACAAAGAACGGATATAAAATTCTCATTCATGGCAATGTGTGTGATTTGTCTGTCAAAAATAGTATGTATAAAGTATTTTCTATCAACTTTATTGGTCGATGGTATAATATGTATAAAACAATAAATGCAATATAAATATTATGATTGCTTTCTCCACAGTAGCATAATGATAAAAAACAGTGTAAATCACAGAGTATACTGCCTTTTATGGCAGCCATAGACAATACGCATCTTTAATGTTTTTTTATCAGGTAATACCATTATCGACAGAACAAATGAAATACGGCAACGTCACGCTTTCATGAAGTGTTGAAACTTGAAGTGAGTAGTCATTCGGCGTTTTAAAAATTTTATAAAATTGTTATTTAAGAGTTTATATTCTACACAAAATGGCTGATAACAAAAGGTAAGAAAAACTTTTTAATTGCATACGATAGAAATATGTATTACGCCAACATCTTATATTTTTCATTCTATCATAGCAACAAAACTTCGAAATTGGCTTGTCATCATGTCTAACAATGGTATGAAAGTACAATTTTTTTTTAATTACACAAATGTAATATGAAAACACAGCTTTTCATGGGTTTTAAGCGTATCCCTAGAATATTGGAAGTATTTATTTGATCGGGTCACTAGGTTTATGGTAGGGGGCCGACTATTGGGCGAGACCGTTGTAATTACTGCATTATCTGATGTTACCTTCCAGTCCCGACGATCTTTCTACCGCAATTTTACGGCGCAAGGACAGGCCCAATCGTTTGATCGTCGAAGAAGCCGTCAGCGATGATAACTCAGTTGTTGCACTATCACAGGTTAGCCCTTTGTCATCACTTTTCGAAGAAATAATAACTACCTTTCCGATTCAATTAGTCAACTCTAGAAACACAACAAATGCAAACATAAAATTATTAATAAAGATATAAATATGAATATTTGCTTATAATGAAAAGACTTAGAGGTCTTCTCAGTTCATTGACCTATGACATGTAAATTTTGAACATTTAGAGTTATTCATTTATGGTTTTAGATAACTCACATAATGAATAATTGATCATATACTTTTATATGGCAGTAAGATTTGAGAACTCAGCTGTTATTATGAGCACATAATTATATCAGAAGTAGGGACAAACCTATAACAAACACAAAATAATTGCTTCAACTAAGTAGGATTCTGTTATTTTCGAATCTAATTAAAAACTTTTTTCTAAACTAAAAACTAAACTAACTAAAAACTTTCACGGAAAGCTGATGCCGGTTCAAGTCCTGCCCGAGTCGAAATTTTTTTCAATTTATTTTCGATCTTTAAGAACTTCAAGTTCAAATTGCCCCCAAACTATCTAATCACTATAGTACCCTGTCTATTATAGCTTTAGATATTGTATACCTAGTAACAAAAACTTTACTTTTTGTTATATTTTACTTGGTGTTAATTTAAACATATTTTTTTTACTTTGACACACACTTATAAACTGTAAAAAAATAATAAACATGGTTAATATCTTATAAAAATCTTACTTGATTATCACTTTTACCAAGGCGAAAATGGAGCAGCTACAATTGTTCAGAGGTGACACAGTCCTATTGAAAGGCAAGAGGCGCAAGGAGACAGTATGCATTGTGCTCTCAGATGACAACTGTCCCGATGAGAAGATCCGCATGAATCGTGTAGTGAGGAATAATCTGCGAGTGCGTCTCTCCGATGTTGTGTCTATTGCTCCATGCCCCTCAGTGAAGTATGGAAAGCGTGTGCACATTCTGCCGATTGACGATTCAGTTGAAGGTTTGACTGGGTGAGTTTTTGGCCATAATTATACTTGCAGTAGAGCTATCATTAGATTTTTATATATTTTATTTTTTTACCAAGTTTTATTTTTGTCTTCTCGTACTTTAAGTGCTGAATGTCTAAAAGTTGAGGATTAAATTTCTGTCTTTGTTAGAGGGGTCAGGTGCACATAACATTGGTGATTAAATGATTTTAAACAGTAACTAACTCTTTCCTGTTTATAATCATACTTCCTATGTATCAATGGAGCTTGTTAAGATATGTGTAACAAATATACATAATATGTTAATTGTAATAATATCTATAAATGGTATAATGGCTAAGCATACAATTTTATTCTTCAAGTGTTGTAGTAAGGCATTACAATCCTTGATTGTTTTATGGAAGAGTCAAATATAATATATAAAAACAGAAAAATGTATGTCTTGGCATACATTTATCTGTTTTTCTCTAGTTTTGGTTAGCTTTAAATAAAATACTTTTAACAATTTATAACATGAAATATAATACTTTGATATTTTGATGGCCTGAGATTTATTAAAAAAATTTATGATTTTGGTAATGCATACTAAAAGTACTGCTAATTTCAGAAACCTCTTTGAAGTATTCTTGAAGCCATACTTCATGGAGGCCTACAGACCAATCCATCGTGATGACACCTTCATGGTACGCGGAGGTATGCGCGCTGTGGAGTTTAAGGTCGTCGAAACGGATCCAGCACCATACTGCATTGTGGCACCAGATACAGTCATCCATTGCGAGGGAGATCCCATTAAACGAGAGGTCAGTACAGTTTTGGATTTTTTTAATGATGGAGGACTACAGACCAGCGTGGGGCTCACTTGATGGTACGTGATATATATCCACCCATACCCAGTCTATAGTATCTAAACAAGGAAATCCACAGATTGTAACCGAAACACGATTAAGTGTCGCAGATTTTTCATTTTGGACAACGTTCATGAACCAGACACAGTGTTTATATTCCTACCATCCAGATTTCCAGTTGAAGTCCAACATGTTTTAGAAAAATTATAAATTCAAATATTAGAAACACATTGGAACTGGTAGGCGTCAAATCGGTCAAAAAAAGGGATCAAACTGATTATTATCTATACATTGCTTCCATTAGACAAACGAGTCTGTCAAAAAGTTGGTAAAAAGAAAGCTTCATACACAAACATGTACATTTCAATATTTTTTAGGAAGAGGAAGAAGCACTCAACGCAGTTGGTTATGATGACATTGGTGGGTGCCGCAAGCAGCTTGCTCAGATCAAGGAGATGGTTGAGCTGCCGTTGCGGCATCCATCACTCTTCAAGGCCATTGGTGTGAAGCCGCCGCGTGGTATTCTCATGTACGGCCCGCCGGGAACTGGAAAGACGCTTATTGCAAGGGCTGTAGCTAATGAGACTGGTAAGTTGAAGATATTTGTGTCTGTACCAAACTTTGCCTTTGTGTATTTTTATTACTAAAATGTTAAAGTTGTACACATTTTTATTACAAATTGAAATATGATATTTATCAGTTCATTTAATTTCAGCTTATTTTACTTTCCAACTGAAAGACTATGTTTTTGTTTGTGTGTATTTGCAACGCATTACTTTTCAAACCTAACTGTATTTTCATATATTCCTGCTAGGTGTACAATAAGCAAATATGTACTATTAAAACAACATTTTTGATATAGATGGTTTTTGAAGCTGATTGTTAATATTGTCATTAAAATAATTGGTAATAATCATGTGTTGTAAAATTTTACCTTTCGTGTATGGATCAGTATTTCATAATTTATAGCAATATCAACCTTGGACGAATTCAGAGATATCTCCCTGAGCTGGGTCCAGGTTTTAGGTGGACTTCTAATTAAACATGTTTGTATTTATTGTTATCAAAGGTAAATTAAAGGTCTTTGACTTGACCACAACTATGTGAGGTGGTACCTCCTGGTGCCAAAGCTGGATTTACGTTAACATAATATTTAATGATATATATGGTTTTATCATTAAATATAAAGTAATAAATTAATGTCTCTTTCCTACAGGGGCTTTCTTCTTCTTAATCAATGGTCCGGAGATTATGTCAAAGCTGGCTGGAGAGTCTGAATCCAACTTGCGTAAAGCGTTCGAAGAAGCCGACAAGAACTCTCCAGCCATCATCTTTATTGATGAACTGGATGCTATCGCCCCTAAGAGAGAGAAAACCCACGGAGAAGTTGAACGGCGTATTGTGTCTCAGCTACTGACTCTTATGGACGGTAAGACATAATATTACATAGAAAGCTGAGTTTGTTTTTTATTTTCACACAGACTTCCTATAACTGTTGATTAATTACTGGAATGTTACTGACAACCCAAGATGATAAACTATACTCTATAATATACTCTCATCGAACTGCTGTCACATATGATTTTAGTTATGTGACAATTTATTTATTAATTTCATTTGTATTATTAATTTCGAAATATTCATTTTTGATATCAGGAACTACTATTTCGTTTTTGTTTCTTTGTTTGTTTGAATGCTCTAATCTCAAAAACTACTGGTTCGAATTAAAAATTACTTAGTGTTGTTGTGGTATAGACTATTTATCGAAGTAAGCTTTGGGCTATAAAACATTAGACTGCAACCAATGGAAAGTGAAGAATGTAGAAAAACGAGGAAAATTGTTTATCTTTGTAGGTTTTCGTTCTGTGCGCTCCGAAAACGGACTAAGATATGTATTCAAAATTATTCTTTTTAAATAATCAAAAATAAAATCTCGCCAGTCATCTTTTAACTTGCAAGAACTATTTTTGTGGTAATCAAATTTGGTTGAAATACTTCATGTAGCTAAAGAATGTTTGTCAACTCAGCTAGTTATAAAATAAAAGTGGCATCGACATATCTTTTTTTATTAAGCATTTAAATCTGTCTGTACAAAATACTAATTCCACAGACAAATCTACCAACTCGATATTATTCTTGTATCTTTGATTCACAATAATTCCATTTTAGGTATGAAAAAGTCGTCCCACGTAATCGTCATGGCTGCGACCAATCGACCCAACTCGATTGACGCGGCGTTGCGTCGCTTCGGTCGTTTCGACCGCGAGATCGACATCGGCATCCCGGACGCGACTGGACGTCTTGAAATTCTTCGCATTCACACCAAGAACATGAAGCTGGGAGACGACGTTGACTTGGAACAGGTAATTTGATTCAGCTTATTGATATTTCTAATTGGATTTTAAATTTTACACTTTAGAACCGAAATATGAAGCGTTAAATTTTAGAATGAGATAGATGATTGTCGTGAGGAACAAGGATAGAGTGTAAACTTTTGTCTTTATCGCCCTGTCCAGTCTTCAATATAAGGGAAGCAATTGTGACAAACAAAAAAGATATCTTTTGATATGTTCACTGTAGTACTCTCTCAAAGTATTTTAAGCAAAAATCAATGATTTTGAGACAGTAACTTTTTCTTTAAATATAAAGATTATGGTGGGGTGTAGTCTTTTAAGCAGTAAAACTTGCAGTGACCAAACAAAGAACTATCTTTGTTTTATCTACAGCCAGGGCAAGACAACATTAGCTATATAGTCTGAACACTCTGAAATCACAAGGGATGAAAAAAATTATACATTTTACAGAACACAGTATATGTAAAATCACTGCTATTATTTTCAAATTTACTACTGTTTTACTTTATTAAAAAAAAGGAGTTTGTTAATTACCTGTCTGCAAGCATGATTATTAATATTGTATAATGTATGTGTATATATATATTGATATAATATGGTTGATAGTAACATCTTTAACTATAGATCGCAGCTGAATCTCACGGTCACGTGGGCGCTGACTTGGCGTCGCTCTGCTCGGAGGCCGCCCTGCAGCAGATCCGTGAGAAGATGGACCTCATCGATCTTGAGGACGATCAGATCGACGCTGAAGTTCTCAACTCGTTGGCTGTTTCTATGGATAACTTCCGTGTAAGTTTACACATCTTTTAACTATATCACAAAAATAATGAATAATTATGGAGTATGAAATTCAGTAAAAAAATATTTACCATTATTAATTAAATTAGAGACATATTTGTATCTAAATCAGTGTTCCATGTTAATATAGCCTCACTCATTCAATGTAATAATAACCAAGCAAGAACATTAATCTTAAAAGTTAACATTACAGAAATTACTTTTTACATTTTCGTTAGAATCGTCGCTAAACGAAAAACTACCACTAAAGTAATGTAATGCATATTTCTTTTATTCATTTAAATCTTCGTTTCAGTACGCAATGACCAAGTCGTCTCCGTCTGCCCTTCGCGAGACCGTTGTGGAGGTGCCCAACGTGACCTGGACAGATATCGGAGGCTTGCAAAACGTGAAGAAGGAGCTCCAAGAGTTGGTTCAGTACCCTGTGGAGCACCCGGACAAGTTCCTCAAGTTTGGCATGCAGCCATCTCGTGGTGTGCTGTTCTATGGACCGCCTGGTTGCGGTTAGCTGCTTTTAATGTCCTCTATATTGTTTACTAGCATCTTGCTTAACTTCTCATCTTGTTTCACTTTAAATATACTGCAAAAGGATCAACTTCCGATATCATGGCATTTACTTTGATATGCATAATATGAAATTCGGATAAACAATTTTTATAAATTTACATATTTCACCCATCTAGGTAAGACCTTGCTGGCTAAGGCGATTGCTAACGAGTGTCAGGCTAACTTCATCTCGGTGAAAGGTCCCGAATTGCTCACCATGTGGTTCGGTGAATCTGAAGCCAACGTGCGAGACATCTTCGACAAGGTAAAACTTATTTATTATTATATTACGTATATAGTCTATACACAGCAACAATAGTTAAAAGTGCCCGTTTTGTGTTCAAACACATTTCTGTATCTGTCTCCTTTTATTGAAACGAAATTGACCAGACCTTTGTGTCCTGCCCGACCGTGATTTGTTAAGTTACGGAAGCTGTACACACAACAATAAAGAGAGAAAAATTACGCCATCTTATTTCATATTGTATCCCTGCTTTTGAGAACGAGTGCACTTTTAACTTTATACAAACGTCTTATTAAAATATATTTTTAGGCCCGCTCTGCTTCCCCGTGTGTACTGTTCTTCGACGAGTTGGATTCCATCGCCAAGTCTCGTGGCGGCTCGGTGTCGGACGCCGGTGGTGCCGCTGACCGAGTCATCAACCAAATTCTGACTGAAATGGACGGCATGGGCGCTAAGAAGAATGTTTTCATTATCGGTAAGTTGTGACCGAGTTATATATGTATATGTAATAACATATACATATATAACTCATGTTTTGATTACACTTGGAGTAGCCTACATAGCCTAAGAAGGGAAATAAAGTCAGGTTATATTAGTTTTTTTAAAGCGTTACTAGCTTTTTCGTATATTAATTTTAACAGCCTTTTCTTGTTTTACATTTTATTGTATACAATAAAAATTATTTCAGGTGCGACAAATCGTCCCGACATCATCGACCCGGCCATCTTGCGTCCGGGACGTCTAGACCAGCTGATCTACATTCCTCTGCCAGACGAGAAGTCCCGCGAGGCCATTCTTCGCGCCAACCTACGCAAGTCTCCCATCGCCAAGGATGTTGATCTTACGTACATCGCCAAGGTAAACTTAGAACTTGTATTTGCAATTATAAAAACAAATGTTTAATAGAAATGTATTTTTACGATTGAGGACGACTGACAATAATGGGAACCCTATTACTGTCATTTGAAGAAAGGAGAAATATCCCAGTCATATAACAACATCTAAACAACATGTGATGTTGTCATTTTTTGGGTTTGGATACTTGGTTGTATATTCTGTTATCAGGCTCGAAGGACCATAAATATAAACCCTAACTTTTCCAGTGCAAACCCCCTCCAACTTGTTTGTAAAATAAATGGCGATTTACTATTTTCCTTTATAAATAAATTTAAATACTCATCGCAGGTGACTCAAGGGTTCAGCGGTGCCGATCTGACTGAGATCTGTCAGCGCGCGTGCAAGCTCGCCATCCGGCAGGCGATCGAGGCGGAGATTCTGCGCGAGCGCTCACGCCAGCAACAAGCGGCCGCTGCTGTTATGGACGTGAGTTATTTTTAATATTATTTAAATATTTGCATACATATGACGGGGTACGTTGGAGATAACTATATATATAGAACTAATAATAGTCCTTAATCCCCAACGACGATTCAACAAGAGCCGCTGACACGGCCTATATCTTAGAACATTTACATTTTTACTGTCATTTTTTAATTTATTAACATTTTTCGTAATGCCTACCACAACAATATTATTTTTATATCATTAATATACATCAGATGGACGAAGAGGACCCGGTGCCCGAGATCAGCCGTGCCCACTTCGAGGAGGCGATGAAGTTCGCGAGGCGCTCCGTCTCAGACAACGACATTCGCAAGTACGAGATGTTCGCGCAGACGCTGCAGCAGAGCCGCGGCTTCGGCACCAACTTTAGGTAAACTACTTACGCCTTCAGTCTTTGCTTAGACGAGAAACGCTCATTTGTTTATATTACCACTATCGCTTTACAAAGTGGTGGAGTAAGTCTTAAATTTATAATTTAATTTTTCTCTTGCCACTATATCGCAACATTTATTGTAAAAAGGATTAACATGACGATTAAGAGGGACCTTCTGTTTTATTTTTATTTATTACAGCTTTATTATTCATAATACATACCACAAAACAAAAAAATAATGTAGTAACTTTTATTCAAAGCCTTTGCCAAATATTTAAAGCTAAAATAGCGTCGTCAACGCATCTAGTGCAGACTAATGGCTAGGGTATTTCCCCTCCCCCCTCGTCAAGTGGGCCCCATGCTTGTGTCGTCCTTTATCATAAAAAAATAAAAAAACTTTTAATAAATAAACTTGGTATGTCCCAGGTTCCCGTCAAGTGGCGGCGCGTCAGGGGGGACGGGCACTTCGGGCGGCGACCAGCCCACCTTCCAGGAGGAGGCCGGCGACGACGACCTGTACAGCTAGGCGCCACGCCCACTGCGATCCAGCACACAGACGGACGGGCATACTCGTGTATTAGTAGCTGGGCACGAGGCGAGGAGGGAATGCCGTTTATTGTATTCATAAGGAGTAATAAATTTGTTTTGGATGGCCATTCTCACGAGTTTCAGTTGACTGCTTAGTTGTATATGTAAGCGTTTGTCAAAGTTTTCTCTATAACCAACTTTTCGTTTCCGTATTTTTTTTATATACATTCTTTTTAGTTTCACTAGCAAGCTATTATTATATGTATGAGATTATCAGCCTGCCAAATAACGATACACGCGTATGTGTTGGCCGTCTCAAATCCAATATGAACGGTGCATTTCACTCGAATATAACCGCGGTTCAGTAAATAATACAGAAATCCGTTTATGTTAATCAGCCGAGGGAATTAATCCAGTTGGATTTAACAATTTAAAACTGGAACGGATACGTAATGACTTATTAAAATATTTAGCAGTGTAAATCACGAAATATATCAGTTAACTTATTTTAAATTACGACCCGACGATTCGAAACCTTTGCGGCAACCTTTCGAGATTAGCCACATTGACATTCGAAACGTCGGGTCATGGTTAGATATAAAGCTTAAATATAGTGTTTCAGACGCAAAATTACGTTTAATTAATGTATAATTTGCTCATTCTTATTATAACAATAAGAAGAGACAAACGGTTGCAACTTGAAACTGTACGTACACAATTGCATCGTTCATATTTGGCGTAATCTTTAGTTTGGACTGTCTAAGTTAAGATTATATAGTTGTGGGTCACAGAATCACGAAGCGATTAAAACCGTGCTTAAGCACAATAAATATATGGATGTGTTTATTTGGACTAGTGTAATTGTTTTGCGGGTATTGTATGCTATCTTGTTACCCGTACTTCGGATCGTGTGCGTTCGACATTACACAGTATCGCAGTGAGTTTTTAATTAAAGATTTTTATAGATCTACATGGTGTTTTTTTATAACATTTCCCCTACTGCCTAACGGTTACATAAGACAAAAGTTAGAAATACAAATATTCTTTACTGGCGCAAAAAAAGATGATGGAAATTAAGGACAAACGGCAACTTTGTAGCTAAATAGCTATCCCTTCCAAGCAACCGTGGTACAAATGAAAATTCAGTAATAAAAAAGGAATGCGTGACAGCAGAAAAAGAACTTAACCTACTTACTAAAACTTATAACAATACAAAATGAGCGTAATAAATTATATCTGATATCATTTCCAATACGAGCGTCTGTTCAAGTTTAGGCCGACGCCCCCCAGGCACCCTTGGACTTGCCGCCAGTACGGCGGTATCCCAGGACAGCATATTATGTAAAAGAAAATTAAAATAAATTCCTCAGTCAGTTTATTGAGACGCAACGATATCTATATAAGAGAATTTAGAAATCATTTAATATTTGTTCAAATAACAATCGCTAAAAACTTAATAATTGTGTTGTTAACAACAGACTTTCTTTATAGTCTTTACCTACGTTACTTATAATGACTACTTGTTCGTAAAAATATTTGACGATGGAGTGTTGCAAAAAGAATATTCGTGACTTAACTCGTGAAGAAACCATAGACTAAAATGTCAATATGGTTTATTTATATATAAATTTACAAAACTTAACGTAATTAAAATGCCGAAGTTTAGCGACAATTATTACTATCGTAAATGTTACTTCGAGCGTGATCAAGTTCCAACACAAAGCGTTATGAGGAACAAAATGTCTCCGCCGCTTGCAGATGTATATTTCAAGTCCATGACTCCTAAACTCAAAGTACTAGCGGGTCTCGAACCACCCATGAAGGGCGGTGGCAGTGACTGGTATGTCCCACCGCGTGATATCCTGCAGGGAAAAGCAGTCTTAAAGCCAGAAAAAAAGGAACATCTTTCGAAACTAGGTTTCATGGGCATTGATTTCTTTGGGGAACACTTAGTAAAACGCCACCATAAAAACATGGACGAAGAGCAAGAACGAGTGCTGCAAGAAAACGATGCGAACTGGAAGAAGAAAGTGGAAATAAGTTCCAGACAACAATGGGAAGAGACGTCAAAAGAAGAATCTCAACACAACACATCTAAGATACAAAACGGTTTTCACGAGTTCAGAATGCTATACGCCACGTCAGTCAACAACATCGAGACGTTACTATTTGATGCAGCCATTAACGAAATAGAAGGAATCAAGGATAACGCCGTTAAGAAAATGGAAGAGAGGTACAAAGTGTTCGTAAAACAACAAGCTGTAACTCTGTACGATCAATATGCAATGTATTTGGATAGAGAAAAGAAAAGATTAAAAAACAAATTTATCGAAAACATCGAACGATCCAGAACAGCGGCGACAAACCAACTGCACAATATAAAATTAGATAAACACATCGCCGTTGAAAAGCTACGTCTTTTTTTGGAATGCCAGAACTTAGCATGCCAAGTGTATGTGGCACTTAAGGAACGCGAAGATTGTAGGCTAGAAATGGAGAAGTCAGAGCACATACACAGGAAAAAGATGAGAAAGTTAAAAGAAGATATCGCTCTGAAAGATTTCGAAATACAACTTTCAAACGAGAAGGAAAAGAAGCGGCAGGAGTTTATTAGAATATGGAAGAAAAAGGTTTGTCATGTTGTGAAAAAGTTTCAAGAGTTTGTTGGATATTGTTTAAAAGTGCTACCGAATCATGCCGATTTCTTTATCAATATGGAAAAATTAATGTTGATACAGCTAAGCGATGCAATGGAAACGCCGTGTTCCGGAAGCATTTTTAGTGCTGAACCCGAATCGGATAAGGACCCGGTCGCGAAACCGCATCCTTTCTATGTGTTCTGTGATAAAGGATTCAAACCTCAAATAAACCAGGACCTATGTCCGAAGCATTGCACCTCGAGTGCCTCACTACTTCCAGTAGTTGTCGTTAACGAAAGATTAATTTATTCCGCTTGCGACAATCTTGAAGCTTTTCCAGACACTGTTAAACAATTTATTGACGGAAAGCGTGGCGAAGATACGGACGTAGCAGATGATCACGATTACACTTACGACATCCCCGTGCGATGCACAACGTCTCAGCAAGTACTCGAATTAAAACTCGAGAGCTCCATAATGCAGATTCTACAAAACGAAATGCCGAACGTAAGAGATGTTCCAACAAAGTGTTGTTTTTGCAAGATTCCGTACTGTTTCTGTAGCCCGCTCCGACCCTCAGAAATAGTGGTCGATAAGCGCTCTAAAGCAGACCTAAATCCAATACCAGCAAAAGTACCAACGGGCGAGAAGATGACAACACGCGAAATAGAGCTGCAACATCTGCGTGAACCAAAGTGGAAGAGCTACATGAAATACGTGGAGCCGCAGCGGTGCAAATGTGGAAAACGAGCTAAAAAACATCTTGAGGAACATTTACCAGCTTATATGCGGCAAAGGTCAACATACGAGCCGGTCGAGATACCAAATTATGAACCGTGTTCGATGGAAACTTTGAAAGAGTTGGTGAAAGATGCTCAAGGTAAGAGAACACCTCCACCTACGCCGGAGAAGGCTGAATCTAAAACCAGGAACGTCAGCACCCAATTCTCAGATCCTCATTTCGAGGAGTTGTGCACGTGTTTCTCAGATGAAGGTATAGAGCAGCTATTCAAGAAATTAATAATAGAATCGAGGTTATTCGATGACGCCGCAGCACCGAAGATGCGTGTTGTGGATGGTTCAATATCAGCGTCGCATCTGGAGAAGAAGCCTGCTTCCTTTGCGGAGGATACGGCGTACGCTTTGCGGTCTATGATACACGATTCACCGATTCTGGAGGAACTATTCAAGAAGGGGGATTGCAAGTTTTAGATTGTTAATTGTTCAGACATCTTTCGCGAAATATATATTTATAGTACCATACGCTTGTTATGTTATTATTGTAAAGAGAACATACAAATATGTATCTATACTAATATAAAAAGCTGAAGAGTTTGTTTGTTTGAACGCGCTATTCTCAGGAACTACGAGTTCGAATTGAATTTTTTTTTGTTGCTTAGAGTATTCATCGAGGAAGGCTATAGGCTATAAAACATTGCGTTGTGACTAATAGAAGCAAAGATACAGCAGGAAATGTGAACAAAACGAGGGAACCTTTTCATCTCTGTGGGTTTCAGATGCGTACGCTGCGAAAACGGTTCAAGATACCTAAAAATGTCTATGAAAGAATGATTTCTCTTTAAACGATAAAAAAAAAAAGTCCGCGACGCTATATATCTTTTAAGATTAACTTGCAAGAACGACGGGGAGGGCCGCGATCGACGTCGTGGCTAACAACCTAAGTTTATAAAGAAGACCGGGTTAGCAAAAACTTATTTCGATGCCCAAAATAATGATTCTCGCGGACGAAGTCGCTGGGACTGCTAGTCATTTATAAAGTAACTAACTTGGTAGAGCAACAACACAGTACGCCTTTTTTGGTCGAAGGTCCACCCCAGTTTTTTCTTCTATCTAAAATGTTTAAATTGCTCAAGTTCAATGCTTGACTATGCCTTAGAATTCTGATAATGTTTTTAGCATTTGATACCCCAATGTTTCATTGATGAGAGTCATAGTGGTGTCATCATCTACATTTAAGGGCCATAGAGGAAGTCCACCGGACTCTTATCGCCTGAAAGAAAGACGTGGCAATTAGGTTAAACAGTTGAAGAACTTACGTGGATACTGTCTATAGTTTACGCGAGTAGTACACATTCAAATAAAACACTTTAACACAACTTATTTGAAAATGTTCTCAAATAAGTTTAACTAATATATCGCGTTTTAAACCGTTAAAGTGTTTTATTTAAACTTACGTGGACTCACGACTAACTTCATACAAAATGAAATTAGTATATGCACTCAGACTTATTCAATCCTTTTTACCTCACAATGTACGAACGGACTGGTCGAAGTTTAGTGGACTGTATAAAGTAAAAATTTAAATATGTAATATAGTATAATATGTATGAGTAGTTCGATCACCGGCACACTGAATACGAGCAAAAAACAGCAGAAGATGATGATGATGAAGCAGCATGATTATGTATATAAATATTTAAAACTTAGACTTTGTCATAAATAGTTTACTAAATATATTATACCCACCATAAATATATTAGTAAATGCTGAGCTCTACCCGCATTCAGCATTTCGAAATGATTAAATAAGTACTGCCCTGACCGATGGATAATATTTAAATTTCGGGCTAATATGATGCCTACCATCACCTGGTGATATTAAAAAGAAATTCTGATCGGATCACTAACCACCGTCCATATATGAAAAAGTCGCTAAGGGTAATCGCGCTTCTGTTTCAGTCTATGAATTTCCGAATATCCTAAGTCGAAAGTGCATCTTGATGGATTGGGTATTTTACCTTCGATCAAATGAACTCCATATATATAGGGGGGCACCCCTAAATCACAAAAAAAATCAACAAGGGGGTATCTTATCCATATTTCTAACTCTCATTACCTCCGTTCCCTCCCCTATCTCAAGTTCATATTGAACTAGTACTTAAGGGTAACAATAAACATCTTTAATTGTAATTGATTAAAATATTTATTTATAAAAAAATATGAATATCATTTATGTTTAATAAATTCAGTCCGCTACCTAACTTCGTTCACTGCCATCTGGTGCAAGAGGTTCATGACATGACAGAACCTCTCCTTGACTTCGCTTTGCGACCGATGAGGTAATAGCTCGCATATTCTAAGCAGCACCTTATCTGACCCGCCCTCCCCCTTTAGAACTTCTAGCATCGTTTTGTCCTCTTCCCTCGTCCAGTTCTTGGCTTTAGCGTCTTTTGGCTTCTTCTCTTCTTTCTTTTGTATTGGGACTTTTGTCTCCTTTCTCTTATCGTTACACTTGGTTTTCACTTTCCTCTTCACTTTGATCTGTTTGAGATCTTTCTTCGTGTTGTCGTTAACGTCTTTCGCGGGTTTCGTTGGCGATTTCACCTGCTTCTTGCTTTTCTTTGGAGATGCTTTGCAGGTGGTTTTGTTATTTCTTTTGTTGGCTCGCTCTTCTTCTGAGTCTGGTGGTGAGATGCAAGTGTTTGGGGCCAGACGTCTGGAGTGCACTCGGTATGGCTCTTTGCTGTACGGGTACGTTACGCACGCCGATTTCAATATCCTGCCATGTTGAAGGAAGACGCGGCCGTGTAGATACTGTAAAGAAGAGATGTTTACCTATTAAGTAATTTAAATCTATGAGCTAAACGTCAGAAATATTTTTAAAATGTATTAAAGTGTCTCTATGTTGGCTCTACATTTTTAAGATTCATAGCTTTCATAGAATCAGTATGGTAGCATTTTCAGATCTTATGGTAGCAATGTATGTGAATAATAATCAATGATTTGGGCTTCAACATCCACCGGGTCCAACATTTATCAACTTATATTATTTCTGAAACATGTAGGACTTGGTCTGGAAATGTGATATTATATGGTGGATATATCGAAATTCCGTCTGGGTCACGAAACATCGATCACAGTTAATAAAGTTATGATAACCATTAAGTTTAAACACGTTAAAGTCTGTTGAAATCTGAATATTCAAAGCCAAAATATTTATTTCTCGTTGAAATGATATATGGCGCTATCACAATACAAATAACTACAATTTAGTAACACAAATGTTAACAATACAGCTTAAAGTAATTTAAAATCCTTGAGCAAAGTAATATACTAACAACGGAGTCTATCCCCGATTTAATATCTAGCTGTCTCTTTTTATCTTCAGGTTCAAACTCCCACACGTCATAGCCCTTGTCACAATCCAGGCAAGACTCGTCCATAATATCGGTGTTACTTTCGTAGACGCTGAAATTCAAAACATTATTATGTATATAAATATTTAAAACTTAGATTTTGCCATAAATATATTACACCCATGCTCCATCCATTAAATGTACAGCCAAAGCGTTTCTATTACTTTAATTAAGTATATTTGTCAGTAATTAAATTTCTTTCAGAGAAGTTCTCTATGTAAAGTTAAATTATTTACTAGATAGAATAAATGTTAAATAAACATACATTTTCAGGTATTAAATCTAAGTATTTCTTACTAAAATTATTATACTGTGTAGTATCTTGGTTTGACTATGATTATGGGAAACATTAAACTAACAAAGATCAGGAATTCGATTTTGGGCTGTAAAAATAAAATAACTATAACTTCGTTGACATTTATTTTAAGACATTATGATGAACAAAAGTGTACTTTAATATTGTGTAATTTATAAAAAAATAATACCTATCAGGAGGCCTCTCATCAGGGAACAGCGATTTGAACATCTGAGCCAGACGAGGATTGGACCTCAGATGGGGCTGGACCCGTGTCTTCATTTCCTGACTCGACCCACTGTTGATTCCAGCGGTCATTGCGCGTAGTATCTTACGGTAGACTGTTGGTTTGCGGTAGAAAGTTGTCTGTAAGAAATATACAATTTAATACTGAAAATAAAAATATGGAACAATAAAACTAAAAAAATAGAGAGTAATAATACTTTTCGCGGTGTGGGGACTTGAGACTTGTATGTGCAATAAAACGGTTTAACAATTTGAAAACATCAAAGTAAACCCCCATTCAAAGAGTTATTCTCTTTTTTCATTTTAGACGCTAGAAGTTGTGACATATTATGAAATTAATAAAAAACTTATGCAATAAAGTTCAGTGAATCGTCTAACTAACTACTACAGTAGTAGCACAAAAACATAGGAGATGATAGCATAGCTTAACAATTACACACAAACATATCATTCACAATTTATAAAGATTCACAAATTTCAGAGGCCTCTTAGATTATTTTTATCAGATTAAACTGACTTTGTACTTTGGATAGCATGACAGTTATGTATTAAATCCTTATATTAATAAATAAAAAGAAAAATTCCATGAAAAAAAAACATCATTTTCCATTGAAAAGGTTTCAGAAAAGCATATGAAATGTCATGTTAAGACTACCGTTTAAAGATGATAAAAGTAGGTCATTTATAGTTTTAATATAAAAGCCATTATTTTGTCAAAGGACAGTTAAAGTACACCAGCTAAGCAATGTTCAAGGAAATGAAGCCATAAGCACATTATAAAAATATCACACAATCGCAGCATAGATTAATGCTTTCTATCCTAACCTGTAATACTTCTATAAAACTAGTCATTTGTGTCATCATAAAATAATCCATAAATTTCCCGAGTTCAGCTGCTTGTCCAGGTTTCAAAAACAACAGGAATTCCTCCACAATATCCTTGTGTTCTTCCCCAAATAATTCCTCAATTTTTCTGTACAAGTCTATAGGTGTTTCTTTCCCAGGATCATATGATTTCAGTATAGTACGAAATTGGGCAAATTTGTTAATTGGTACTGCTGAACTGGTGGGAAACCTTGATCGTACTTTGGTATAGTATGACCTGACCAAAGCTGAAAGGAATAAAAGAGTTCAGTATTCGTTAAGCATGATACTTAGATGTAAGAAATAATTTTCTGTGAAGTTGTTACAAAAACATTCAAATGTAAAGTCGTTTTACATACTAGTGCATATGTTATAATCATGTTGAATGACACTTGTCTTTATATTTTAATATTCCTTCCAATTTTTACTTCTAGAAGTTCTATAAACATGTAAATAATTAAAATTAGCCACCATTGTTAATACCTGTTTCTAACTGATTTTCATTGAGTTTTGGTTTGTCTGCACCATTCTTTTTGTTGTCATTCTTATCCTTAGAATTCCTTAGAGTCTCTTTGGAGCTTCCTTCACTAATTATCAAACTTTCGGCCTGTAACAGTAATGTGATTGGGAAATTGTAAAATGGCAGCCACTTAGCTAATGTCAAGTAGAATTTTGTAAAGGTGTTTCATGGCTTAAAATCACAATTTTCGAGGTTCTAATTATATAAATTCCTTGACCTAGATCGGGTGTACAAGTGACACTAATAGATTCTTTCAGGATTCGAAAGATAACATGACAAAGTTACATAAAAATAACACACTGTCTCTGACTCACCTCTTGTTTACTAGATGTTTTAGGGACAATATTTTGTGTTAAAAAGGGTGTTGTTCGCTCTATCTTATTCCCGAAAGCATCCTGGCTCTCCCTGCTAAACAATATTGGCATAGAAGGCAACATTTTTTGGAAATTCAAATCCTTTATTCGCGTTCGACACTCAACATCACTTAGAAATTAACACAATTTTATCAGCTTCCAGTAAATGATTCACAAATAAGTTACACCATTGCATTATGAAGATGTTAAATTAAAGCCCAATAATCTCTTTTAAGCATTACATATGAAACAAAATAAATAATAATTTAAAACGGAATCAAACGAAAACCTGAGATTATTTTTGTTTGACAGACAACACACAACACGGAGACGCGAATACGAGGGAGCGGGAAGTTACAACGTTTCATTCTATGAGTTTAGACCTTGATTATTATGTTCAAAGGCTAAATATTAAAAAAAATATACTTAATTGTTGAAATAAAATAAGAAATATTAAATGATGGAATATATTTAATACCTCAAAACTGTATAAATAAGTCAGAATTATTAGGAGAAAAGAAACAAAATTGGAACGCGCGCGCGTATCAAACAAACGTTTGTTCTAGTAGTTTTGTAACACGTCATGTTTTTAATTTTAAAAAGTTTAAAGTTTCTTAATTGGATTAATATTGACTAAAGTAATTAATTATTAATAATACACGATTTTTTGGTAATTTGTCTTGGGAAAAGATAGTTTTATTTTATACAGCGTATCCGCGATGAACTTTACTATAATTAGGTCCTTTGTAAAAACAATTTTCATTTTTGGAAAATTAGTCTAAACCTTGCATAAATAGCACAACCTTATTGTAAAATCTAAATTGAGAGGGATGCCTACTTTTTATATATAATAAATCTACTTATTTTGATCTTCAATAGATACCTTTTTTGTTGACACTGCGGTTGTCTGGTTACCAATTCAATCTTTATATAAGTAGAGTCATGTCTAGTAGAATCTCGTATTTTTTTCAAAATTATTATTAGAATTATTGATACCTATTTTAAAATAGGCATTTGTTACAAGATGGCTGCTATCGTGCCAACAGGATTTGGGGTAAGACTTTTACTTGATAACTTTCTTTGCTTGGATCTACAATTGTGACTAATGTGAAATTATGGTATTAAAACATCACCAAGTTGCATTACATTTGCCGTGTACTTACATAAATAAGTGTTATTGTAGGAAATGTTAAGCAAATAAGTTTTGATTGGCAAATTAATAGTCCTTAATGCTTCCAATTGTAAGCAGGCATAACCTTTGAAAGCGATTAGTTAAGATAGAAACTGATTTATTAATGATTCCTCGCAATTAAACGATATGCGTTCAATACAACAATTTAATTAGCTTCGTGCGAATGATATCCTGATTTTACTGGCCTCGATGCACAGGAAACCGAAATTTATCATAAACGATGTTTCATATCAATGCAGTTTTATTTTGCTCGTATCTGTGGTAACACGAATTGAGTGGTGAAAAATGTCTGAGGAAAAATCTGGAAGGAGTGGAGACGCCGCGAAAAAGACCGTGGCGTCGAACGAAGTTAGCTTCGAGCAGATGTCCATACAGGAAGGCTCGTCCACCGAAGTAAAACTATACTGATATTTTAAAGCCGAAGAGTTTGTTTGTTTGAACGCCCAAATCTCAGAAGCTATTAGTTCGAATTCAATTTTTTTGTGTTAGTTGAACCATTGAATGCGGGGCGCTATTATTGATATATAGCTTATATCTACTCATATCATTCACGAACGAACATTGAAATAAAACACTTTTAACGGTTTAAAACTCGGAATTGACTGCTGTGGTAGCACGATGTTTGCAGCAGCCATTGTCACGGGGGACAATTAGTAGTCTTTATAATAGATTTTAAATAAGTAAACTAAAACATTTCGCTTTTCCGTTAAAATAGTTTTATTTAAATGTGTGCTTCTCGCGTAAATAACGGTTATTATTACGAATATACATATTCTAAATTGGGGGCGGGGAATCAATGCTATGTAAGGTCATTCGTGGTGTATTCGGAGATAACAATGTTTTAACACAAAATGAGGTTCACATCAAGTTAATAATTATTGTCCACGTAAGAGTGAAGTATTTCACTGCATAATTAATATATGTAAAATGTATTTAAATAGAACACTTTAACGATTTAAAACGCGATAAATATTAGTTACACTTTGTTGAAATTTAAAAACTTTTAATATTTTTCACATGCACATAAAGGCACTGTATGTATAATTTAAAAATCGAAAATAAATTGAAAACATTTTCGACTCGGGCAGGAATTGAACAGTAGTCAAAAAAAATTTTCAATATATTTTCTATTTTTAAATCATTTGAAAATTATTTGAACTATGGCCCAACGTTACGATCTCCCCGTGACCATGGCTGCTGCAAAGCATCCGAAACTTCGGACTGTAGTAAAATGATTTTCAAATACGTTTAACTAATATATATCACCTTTAAAACCGTTATTGCGTACTAAAGACATTGTGTAAAATTTATATCATTATACGCAAAATATAAGCATACACAATTTTAACTTTTAGTCCTTGATACCGAATACCTAAGTAATAATGATAATTACTTCTAACTTCGTGTGCCTTATTTGCGCTCTCACGGTTTCAATTCGACGAATAAAGGCCATTGTTAGATTGTCACAATATAATCGCAACCAGCCGCGCCCTTACCATCTCCACTTTATACCTAGTCCTTTTTGGAACTACGTGAATATTAGATACATAGACACTAGAAGAACGTAGATCTTTTTAAAATAAACATATATAATTCTGGCAAACTTTGACAGGCTTGCTAGTGTAATAATCAACCGGATCGATCCCCACCCGGTCCAACATTCTGATCAATTTATAATTTTTCTGCAAGACTGTATAGTTATTTCCAGACGATGTCCAACGTCTGGAAATGACTATACATGATATGGATGGAACATCGAAATACCGTCCACGGAAGTGTAATCGCCAATCGGTTTCAGTCTGTGGACTTCCAAATATCCACACCCAAAATAGGACGCCAGCACATCTTATCTAGATGCTATGATATATTAAATGTTATAATGCAAGGGAACTCTATGCTTGTCCGTCCATCAATTCAGTTTCGTACGTTTTATTCAATATCAATGCATAAACGTGTGTGATTTGACTAATGTAATTCTTATATCTCTTCAAGATCAAGGGCATCGATGCTAACCGTTACGCGACGAAGAAAACCGTTGCTCAAGGCTTGCTGGACATAGCTTTGTTGACATCGAACGCGTCCCAGTTGAAGTACATCCTCCAAGTGGGACCCAAGCACGAGTTCTACACGCTGCTCGTCACTCTGATCTCCATATCTATCATTTTACAGGTAACAGGCTTTTTACTTACCTAGTTTCCCCGTTTTCTCCAGGGCTCCCTCGAAAGCACCGTAGCTGTTGGTGTGTTTAGGAGATTGTAGTACGATTTACCATCACTCCCCACGTCACTATTTCCCCATGTCGGCGTATTCCGTATTCTGGACCACCAGTCACAATTGTTAACTCCTCCTCGGAGGAGTAATGGAGGGGTTTGTTGACAAACTTTAAATTTTTCATATAAGTTAATTATTTAATTAATTAAAATTTATTTTTAAAAACTTTTACGACACGGACGGGCCTCCAACTTCCGTCCTGAGCGTATCATGTCTGTATTCATTAAGTAACATATAAGTCAACCTCAATTGGTAAAGCATGAAATTCTTTTAATAAACAATAAGCATTAATAACAATTACTTACTTATCATCTGCTTCTGACAGCGGCTCCTTTATTCGTTTTTTAATACATAGATTTTTTTATATTGTAAATCCATTATTTAAATTTTTAAGAATATTGTCGAAAAATTACCATCGCGCCCTACCAATTTTTCTTATTACTTTGCTAATTAAATTACAAAGAGTACATGCATACTTAAACAGTAAGGCCTTACATTTGAATGACAGATTATAATTACGATTTCTTTAAGATTCTACGATTGTCTAAATGTTCAGAAAGTTATTTGACTCGAATACGTTACGCGAAACAAACATTGTTATTCCAAAATGCGTCTCCCTCATGCTTTAACGCCTCAGGTGCTGATGGGGCTCGTTCTTCTCTCGCTGAATCTTCTTCACGACTGCTGCTTCCAGAAGCCGCGCTACAGATCATCAGCTACGAACATTAATTATGTTACAACCGCGACGGCTTTCATCATCACTGTCATTAATATCCTCATTTCGTCGTTCGATTCATCATTGGCTGCGTATCTTGAGTTTGATGATGATTTGTAACTTCTCGTTCACCTCTTAATAAAACACTTTAACGGTTTAAAACGCGATATATATCAGTTAATTTGGTATTTATTTTAACTACAGCCTGACATTTCGCGGTCACGGGGAGATCACGGAGGTCTAAACAGTAATTTCCAAATAAGTGTAACTAATATATATCGTGTTTTAAACCGTTTAAGGTTTTTATTTAATTGTGTACTACTCGCGCAAACTAGAAACAGTATTTTCTTGTTTACCTAATGCCAATTTAAGGCAATCAAAAGCGGTCGTTGATGTTCAACTTAGACAGGCAAAATGATAAACTAACTATAATTATAACACTAATAAATATTTAGATTACTTCTTAAAATCAACCTAATACGTTGTGGTATTTTGGTAATGGATGATGGAGATAGAGGATGTTGCTGTTGTTAAAATTTTGACCACATTAATGCACATGAGATCTTATATATGAGCAAGGTAGCAGAGCAGTAATAGGCGCTGTTTGAGGTCCTGGGTTTGAAATCCGTTATAGCATTGTTTTTTTTTTTTCAATGTATTTTTTGTGTGTTTTCCACATTCGAGCGATTATGGAGAGGAATAATTTTTACAAGTTTTAAATAAACTTTAACGGTTAAAAACGCGATATATATTAACTTATTTGGAAATTATTTCAACTGTTAGACCCCTCCGTGACGAAAGCATCTGAAACGTCGGCCGTAGTTAAAATAAAAGCGTTTTATTTAGTTGTGTACTACTCTATTAAAATTTGAATGAAACGATAATCAGTTGTTCGTATAGATTGTATGCTTCTTTAGATCAAACGTTTTTAGCACAAGAACAAACAATCGGTAAAAACCAACGGATAAGGTAATTATACGAATTTGTTTGAACGATGCATTTAATTAAATAATACATGCGATATTTAGTAAGTGCGATCGTACTGACTTATTAATGAGGTCCGTTGTTTTATTATTTATTGATTGTTTTCTATTTTGTTATACTTAACAATTGATCTAGTCTTAACTTCCATAACTACGGTTAAAGGCTAAAAATAGTAACACAAGTGGTAGTAACATTCAAATTCTAGTCTTTGTCTGCATTTTTTCCTTTAACAGATTAAGGGATAAACTGATGCGTTGGTTCGGGGGATTATAAAGATGATATTAAAAGTATCAAAAAATCTAAATAAAAATAAATTATTCACGTACCTAGTGTGAAAATTAAAAATTAAATACTCTAAATTTACAATTACTCTCAGTCCTCAAATTAAGGGCGTGGTAAGATCGAGAGAAACTGGCAAGAACCTCGCCACTTATTTTATCGTCAAGTTTTGTTACGAGTTCCTTACGCACTTAATGTGTACTTACATCTTTCTCTTTGTTAGAGCGGGTTCCTCCAAATACCAAGAATCGTGATTTAAGTGCTGATTTACGTTATAATAACCCATTCCCAGTTTTTATTTAACATAAGATTTTAAATTATTTATATATAAGGCTGCCAGAGGCAGAATGGCCTATCAACAAAAAACATGATTTTCAATGAGGAGGAAAGAAATTGCGCAAATTACTTAGGCCAAAATGGTCACTGTTTTCTTGTTGATTAATAGTTTTAAACTATGAAAATAAAAATAAGTCCAATTTTAAAATTGCTTAGGCTAGTCCTCTAGCGGCCGCTTATAAAATAGTTTACTTCACTATAGACCTTACTAATATACAGTACTTTGAAAATAACTACTGGTCTTATGGAGGCTCTTGGTTGGTACATGCATAAATAATCTGATCATTGTTTTAGCTTATGGTCGGGTTGCTATTTGTTGTGATCGGCGGCATGGACCTCAACGACCACGCGGACCAACCGTCGGCGGTCATCCTCAATGACGTCATAGTTATTTTCATATTCGTAATTTCCGTTGTAAACATCGTCATTTCCGGTTTCGGTATAGAGTATTCGAACAATCCACTCGTTTTAGAGCGTTTAAAGGTTTTGAATAGTGAATATTTAAGAAAGATCAATGGGACTCAAAGATAAAAAAATATTAGAATGACTTCTGCATGCTATATTTGTAACTTGTATTTAGGATAAATATTTTTAAGGTAAATTAGAATAATATTATACCATCGTTTTTTAGACCGTTTGACTGACGTAAGCGTAAAGAGACTCTCTACGTTTCGCCATCCCGAGCGAACGGCCATCATCAGGAGATGATGGCCTCTTCTCGCTTACGTCGGCCGAACAGCCTGATAAACAATGATATGCTGAACAATGGGCGTGGAAGCCTTACAATTAAGAACAATTTTATCATAAGTATTATCATTATATAGGAAAAAAAATTAGGAACTAGAATGTTATAAAACAAGGCATATCTTTTGTGTGTGTGTTATAATGCATCTAAGCATAAATAAGGTCGTATATAAGAAGTTTTACTATGGGAAATAAAAAAATGTAGTTATTATCTTTGTAATCTGACAGTTTTAAAGTATTTCTTACAAAACCACTGAAACTTATTAATAATGCATTTTAATTGACACAGGTGAGCGCAGGGATCCTGGCTGTATTGAATTCTTCTATAAACGGTGAAAAACAGAAGAAAACTTCGAACTGGCTGTATCACTTGTCAGTCGGTCTGATGACTGGTGTGATATTTTGTGACGTCATCAAAATGAATTTCGGTCTAGACCCTGCGCTCTCTGAACACGACTTCTTTAAAAATTTCACATTGCATTAAAACATAATCGCACTTATATATAACTGGAGCTTTAATCAATCAAAGCAAAATATTTTTTTTTTGCAGACCATATTTATAGTGCATTTATTTTTTGTTAATTTTATTTATTTGTTTTGTTTTATTTTTTAAGGTACTTTCGTCTATTGGTTCAGTGATTCTTGGTTTTATTTTCGACATCAACCACCAACCCCACCACAGACGCGCAGAAATCTTAAACAATCTCTATTTGGGAACGAAAACTATAAGCACTACAGTAAATGTCATGATATCAGTATTTTACTCTTTGGATGTCACCGGAAATTACGTTCCGCCTCCATTAAGCACTACGCTAAACACTCTTTAATATTTTTTTCAATACCAAATCTGATATTGTATTCTATAACTTAAAATGAAATAAAAAAGAAATGTAATTCTCTATTCCTGATTTTTATAAGATTAAAACAATACTTCTGTTGTATTCTTCTGTATATACCACGAATATTTCTTATTTGTTATGTTATTTATTATAATATCTATTTGGAACTAATGTGTTTTATTTTTGTACTATCTAAATTATAAAGAGAGGAAACTTATGAGTTTATATTGGCGCCATTTAGTTGACAGGAGGATATCCGATTGAAGGCAGGTTGCCATGTTTGATTAACCCTTATATTATTATGTTATTAGTGAATATTTTGTTAAATCGTCCGCCAACTGATATTATGAACACAGGTGATTAAAAAATATAGCACTTAAAAATATTATTTTCAGTAAATCTATGAGACTTTTAAAGCGATGGTGTTTTTTCATAAGATGTCAAAGTCACCTCTGACAACTCATGACAATTGACACATATATAAGTCTTAAGTTATACGTCAGCTGACAACAGAGTAGGAAAATATGTACCTATTGCTTGACAATAAGATCTTTATGTAATAAAACGTTTTATTGTTTAACTTAATTAAGAATATAAATATTCGCTTTTCTTTTCCTAAAAAACATATCTAAACTCTATATTTGGACACATAAACCACAACTGACATTATTATTTATCAAATTGAGTTACCGACCCAAACGAGGTTACCGCAAAGTGTAATACAGAGATAGTACTCCCTACCTCTGGTAATCGATTGCCTCGAATCTTGAAAGTTAAGTTTCACTTAGTTTACAATAAGACGCCGTTCAGTTAAGACGCAACTATGGCAAGTGGTAGAATCGTAGTTTACGGCGGTCGGGGTGCCTTGGGCTCTGCTTGTGTCACCCATTTCAAAAATAACAACTTCTGGGTTGCAAACATTGATTTAAACCCTAATGAAAAAGCGGACGTCAACATCACAGTTCCTAAAGACGGAACCTGGTTACAACAAGAGGAACACGTTGTTAACGAGTTGGGGACTGCTTTGCAAGGTCAAAAAGTGAATGCTGTGATTTGCGTCGCGGGTGGCTGGGCCGGAGGTAACGCGGCAAAGGATTTAAGCAAACAAGCTGATTTAATGTGGAGACAGTCTGTATGGAGTTCAACCATCGCCGCAACATTGGCTGCCAAGTACCTATCTGCAGGTGGTTTGATTGCTCTTACTGGTGCTAAAGCGGCTTTAGAAGCTACCCCTGGAATGATTGGTTACGGTCTAGCCAAAGCTGCTGTACATCAACTAACACAATCACTCGGTTCTAAAGACTCGGGATTACCAGAAAATTCCTTAGCTGTTGCGATTATGCCAATCACATTGGACACAGAAATGAACAGGAAATGGATGCCTAAAGCCGATTTCAGCACCTGGACACCTTTAACTTTTGTTGCCGAGCTCTTTGACAAATGGTTGAAGGGGGAAAACAGACCGGCTAGTGGAAGCTTGGTAGCTCTAGTTACAAAGAACAATGTCACTGAAGCGATTGTCCAATAATCATGCCAATACTGATAATTATGTTGTTTTGTATGGATATCTTGTGATTGTGTAAATGGCTAAATAATATTTGGATGAATGTCTTCTCATTAGATGGCTATTGGTCTAATTTGATATGTACTACGTTAAAGGGAACAATCTCATAACTATTAAGTTATTCCTAAGCGTAAACACCCGTTAATAATTTAAGAAACATTATTATTAAATGTTGTTGAAGCAATTTCTGTTTTATTTCATGTATTTTGTTAGACAGGTCAATGTAATTTTTTGACTTGTTACACATTACAGTGTAAAGTTATAAAAATTGAATGTACCAAGATAAGAATTCTCTTAATTCATTATCATTTGGTACTTGTAAACACAAGGTCAAGGTGAAGATTGATTATTATATAGGACATTCTTAAATATTGATCTATAAATAAGATAGCGGAAAAAATAGTTATCAAAAATAGTATATTTTAACCCTTCTGGATGTTAAAAAATATATATTATAAATTGTCAATTTTAAATATAATGTGTCCTGAACTTGATAAGTACTTGTCTAATAATTCAAAAGTATTAGTAGTGTTTGCATTGAATGTAAATGAAAGTTTTAGTTAAACATTCACTTCCCTATCCGGCTTATAAAGTTCTGCCTAATAAAGTCCGGATATATTGACGTGATACGAATTTATACCAAAAATACACCATAAGGATACAAAATTCCCTGCGAATTCACGAAATGGAAATTCCCATTTATGCGTCACCGATTTTAAAAATGAGTTATCTTTCGTGTTTTTTAAATCTTGTGTCGTATGTTTGATATATTTTTAGGTTATTATTATAAGACAGAATTGACTAAATGCGAAACAAATGATGTGTAGGAATTTACATTACAACAATATTTTTCTAGGGTCTGTTGTGTACACTCATATGTATCGCATTGCTCTGAATATTTGGAAAGGCGCCCGAGTTCCAATAAGATTATGGTATTTGACATAATATGGCGAGAATAAATTGGCGAGGCGGAAGTCTGACTCTGGTTTTGTATCAAACTAAGTATCTTTAAGTACTCACGGGTGGAGTGAAACATTTTGAATAAACTGTACTAGTAGAATATGTATGTCCACCGCATTTTTTAGTAAAAACAATAATTTATGATTAGAAGCTAGATTTTTAGATGTAGACACAAATTGAATATACAATAAAAGGCACTTACTACTCTTTTCTTACACCCAATAAAACTTCATAAAGATTTAAAAAATTTAATATCTCACTGATAAACTTAACTCAAATCGGACTTAACCTCTATAAGAATTATAAAATAACTATATAAAATGTTACACTATATTCTTATTTTGTACGAATAACCTGACAAGTATAAATAATTTAACCTAATCTACGCTTAAACCTATAGTACAAGTAATATATTTTGTCATGATCATACAAATTCAACACCAAAAAGAAATTGCCTTATTTTTTCTAAAGGCGTTATTTTACAGAACAAATGTTGACTTATAAGCGATAGCTTAAAGTTATAAGTGACATTTTAACTCGAATGTCAGTAAATAGATTTATAAAACCGACTTAATGAACGTTATTTATCATTGTGATTTTATCTCCGAGTTATAATGAGTATTTAAACCATTTTAATACCTGCTCAAAGTATTATTGAATTTTATCACCCTGATTTTCGCTTTCCATTAAAGCAATCTAGAAAACATTATTCCTTTTATAAAAATATATAAACATTGCACCAAAATACTTAAAATATGGATGATAATTTTTCTTTTGCACGATGATTTTGACATTCAATTAATTATGTTTTAATATTTCCTTAGTTATTTATTCGGATTCTAGAAGTTTTAATACCTCCATTAGTGGCTTCTACGACACATAAGAATTTAGAGTGGCTTAAAATTCGTCTTCAATTAAATTTCCGGAATATAAGATCTGAAAATCTTAACCTTAAAGGTTGTCATTCAACCGACAACAGCGCGAACCGTGTTCTTTAGTATGTCTGTGACAAGTTCTGTCGTTTTGATGATCTTGATGCCGATCTGGTCGATGAGTGTGATGGCTGTCGTGTAAGTCTGGTCCGTCCTCGTCGGGAAACGAGTCATGAAATCTTGGCCGGCATTTGACCATGATACAGGAGTTGGTCTGTAAAAAAAGATCATACGGTTTAAAACTCAATATATATAAGTTAGAATTGTTTGAAAATTATTAAAACTACGTCCTGAAGTTTCGGAAGCTTCGAGCAACCGTGGTTACGGGGAGTCGCTTTTAAACAGGTTTTATGTATGGCGTTTTAAACCGTTACGTTTTTTTATTTAAATTAAGACAGTATTTATCACTACGTTATTCCGAAAAAGTAATAAAATTTAAGTCCTGTTGTAGTAAGTTTAGTTTATTAAGTAAACAACATAATGATTTTGTAACGACATTTAGGATAATAGAAAAAAAAGGGCATAAAAAATCCATAAAATTATTTATTGTCTGTTGATGGATAAAAATAGTATAATTTCAAATTCCCTTACGATGTATATGGTATAATATACTTAATAAATAGAAAAATAAACTAAATATGTATCTTCTAACTACATGTATTGCTACAAAAGGCGTTCCTTTATAGCAGATCGTTGGGTCTTTTAAGCCAATGAATGAGGGTAAGATGGGCTAGGATTACAAGATTTATCCATTAGTGGTTTAGAATCACGTTACTTAGGTCTTAAAGTAGATAAATACTTTTAAATACGTCCGCTTAGGCTAGTAACAATGCTAAAGTGGTAAATTAGACAATTAAAACCACTTTTTGTGGTTTTCAACCACAATAAAGCTGTTTTAATACGATATTATAGACATACGATTTAATAGTGTTTAAAAAGCCAGTTTAAAGTATTCTTTATTCTTAACACTTTTTTTTATGATATGAGTTTTTTATCTGTGAATGTTGGTTCGGGACCAGACTGGACTACTTGGCTGTAAATATAATCCACAAGTGAAAAGAAATGAATGCTTCAACATTATTATTACACTCCTACCCAATCAATACATTTTGTCTTTTAATCAAGCAGTGATTAAAAAATCTTCTTTTCGATTTGACTTGCAAATCGTCGTTACATAAGTCAATTTGCCATAAAATAATTACGATAATCCGTTAATTGAGGAAATCTATTTGTAGTTTCATATGCTAACTATGCAAAAATAACTTTAAACAATTAACTGCAATTATCGATATTTATGACAGCGTACCCACGACCTGTGGTTAGCCGTTGCTACCATTAGTTACATGAATTATGGAATAATTTTGTAATTGTTTTTTATGTAATTTATTTCTTAAACGGTTTTTAAAATACCCAGTGATTGAGTACAACACATGGTTCGACGTATTCGGATTAAAACGTGCAAAGTTTTAATACTTCACTGTATTTCGAAATTTCGAAAAATATTTTTTTTGAATAATTTCTTAAATTATGAAATACGATTTCAAGATAAACAAGTGTCAACTTAAAAAAAAACTTTAACGTTAAACGGTTTTACTTTTTGTGCACTGAAAACAAATAAAAAGAAATTTGGACATAATCATCGTGTTTTACTGGTGTAGCCATTTCATTTGATACCCATAAGGGGGTTAAGGAAAAATATGTATAATGGTATTGATTTTATTATATCGTATTGTCATCTAAATTAAATGTGTGAACCAAATTTCAGATCAATCTCACAACGGGAAGGTGCTTAAATTTCAATTTCTAATTTTGACCCTAATAAATATATTCCGTACGGGTCAAGCTAAATAAAACCGTTTAAAAATACTATGTACTCTGTCGTGACTCCTGTAGTTAATGTTAAGACGAAATAATTAAAAACTTTCACTCTCTCATTTTCGAGATAAAAGGACAAAAGCTGTACGACAAAATTAATATAAAGCAGAGAAAAAGAATTACAAAAATTAATTATGAGATAAGGGAACCCACTCAATGTGCTTTGATAGGAGATGGAAATTATAATCTCTGGTCTCAATGAGATGTGACTAAGCATTTTAGCATTGTTATACAGATTTCACAAAGGTTACATAATAAAACTGTGATGGCTACGGCTACTTAAATTAACGGCTTATTTTCGTACTAAAATGTAAATTTTTGCACAGTTTTTTTATAACATAGTGATTAATAAATGTTAAGTAAGTGTGGGCGTATTTGTAAAGGATTAAGACCACAAAAACGCTATATTTTCATATAAAGCAATTAAGTTAACCGTAAATGAACTTTTATTAAAAATATAAACATGCTTTTTGGCGCAATAAAACTACATTTATCCGCTATAGCTTTTCGACGATTAAAAACACTCAGTGATTTTTCCATACAGCCCGTTTAACGTAGGTTGAGTTGTTATTAGTATAACGTATTTATATAATTATGGATTTATATGGTATAAAACAAGACTGTGCATTGCGAAGTTCTAATTCTTCAGTTCGGAGATTTGAAATAGAAATGACATCGCCCTAGCCTACGTTTCACTAATTTAATGACGGTAGTTATGAAATGCTGCAACTTTTTTTTTTAATTATATGTATAGTTTTAGAGTTACCTAGGTGGCACAGCAGGCCTTGTGGCAAACATGGATGGTCTTGTCGGTGGCAAAGTGGTTGTGGGGCGCTGAGTGGCCACCCCCGATGACGGACTGCCCACCATCAATTCACCATCGTCGGCAAACCTGAAAGCATATTGTAGGGGCTTATAAATATATGTGGCTCATATATTTTTGCATCTACAGGCAAGAAGGGTAATGTACTGGACTGGCACATTAGGAGGTACCGTCTCTAGTTGACGCGAGTAGTACAAATTTAAATAACACGCTCTTTTAACGGACGAGATGAAAAAATCAATACACACAAATACTTAAGTGTTGCTTGTAGTTTACGCGAATAGTAAACATTTAATTAAAACTTTTGAACGGTTTGAAATGCCAAAAGTATTTTTACGACAACGACGAAACAGATGGCGCTAGCGTAGCAGCATTTTTATTTGAGATTAGGGACTTTTATAGGGGATTCTGCAGTCCCACCGTGACCATGGGAAAATAATTTGTAATAAGTAATAACTAAGACATTTCGCGTTTAAACCGTTTAATCTGTTTCATTTAAATGTCGCACTATTCTTGCGTATAACGGAGTGTTAAAGTCCTCGTTATACGTTTTAAATAGGCTTAATAGTATGCGAATGGCAATCCATTATAATTAGGATAAAAATAATCGCAAGTTTAGCATCATTCTAGAATATTTTTCTTTTATAAGACAATAGGATATTATATTCAATTATGTACGATACGAACTGTTGTAAATACGTGGGAAATCAAACCCCACATTCACAATTAAGCATGCGTCGGGTCGTTGTGTGCCTGCATTTTGTTTGTTCCTTGATTATTTCCTCTGTGTGAATAAAAAATTTTAAACCTTCTAAACTATAGACGTCAATTAAAAACAATGTGAAGACTATTAGGAATATGCAAATAACGAATTAAGTTCAAGTTTAAATTAATATTTACTAGACACAGTTGAAAGCTATTTAAAAAGATTAAAAGATAAGTAATATATTCTTTTAAACAAGCTGCAGAGTAGGAGCTACCACAATCAACTTTCTTCTTTTTCTTAGGCGTTCTAAAGACTTTTTTTTTATTTATTTACATACACATTACTCAGAAAATATTGAATTAATTTAATAGAAATATTAAAATAGTAGTAATAATAGGTAATATTTGCAATTATTTGTTTTTTAATGGTTTAAAACGCGAAATGTTTATTTGCGGAGGAAGTATGTCCGTAATGTCAAAGTTAAAGCTGCTACGCTAGCGCCATCTGTTTCATTGTTATCTTATAATATATTTTGCGTTTCACCGAATATTAACGACTCATTATGAACAGTTTACCGGTAAAAGTTCTGATCAGTGAAACGGACACAGAAATGTGTTCTCGTAAACTAGAGACAATACACAATTGCTTCTGTATATTTTTTTAACATCACAAGAGAAGAAATCTAGAAATATTAAAATTGTATTATTTTTTATCCTGCAGATTTGTAAGGCAAATCATAAGTGATGCCTAGTTTTACTGGCGAGTTGACTAGAGTTCATGCTTTGACAGATAGAAACTATTATTTGTGCTTGTCTATTTCAGAATTTCTTAGTAAAGCGTTTAACGACGAGGCTAATTCTCTATCTACAGCCCAATTGCTTAAAGCAGCACGGAACGGAGTGAATGCCGATTCGAGTCCCGCCCGTGTCGTAATTTTTTGCAATCTAAACTGATTTCGAATTTATCTTCTATGCATGTAAATGTTTCAACTAAAATAATGTTGTAAATTTTTAATGTTATTATAAATATGTTGTTAAATATATTAAGCTCTAAAGTAAAAAATATATTTTTTGTCGCGCAAAGATTACGAACATTGAATAATATTTGGTTTTATGATTTTTATTGTCAATAAAAACGTTTGAGGAAGCAGTAGCTCAGGAAATAAATAGATGTCCTTATAAATATATCTGCATTTTTAATAAGCTTTGCAGTCACGCAATCCAATGTGAATAGTATTTTTCTCATTATGTCACTGTTTCGAACGACTTAAGAAGGTTAAGATATTAATTTATAATGTAAAACTCAGGCAACACTGAAATCTTGAAAACAATTAACACGAATTTTCATGTTGTGTTTGATTTGTCATTGTCTCGAGTAGACAACAGAATATAAAAATATAAGATTTCGTAAGTGCCCCATATTTGATAGTTTCAAACTCCTAACTATTATCAGAATATTGTTAATTAATATGATTGGTTAAAATAAAACACTTTAACGGTTTAAAACGCGATATATTAGTTAAACTTATTTGAAAATGATTTTTAACTTCGGCAGCAGCCGTGGTCACGGGAAGACTCAAACGAAACGTCGGACCGAAGTTAAAAATAATTTTCTAATAATTTTAACTGTTTTAAACCGTTACAGTGTTTTATTTAAATGTGTACTACTATCGTAAACTATAGACAGGATTTAGCCTAATACAATTCAATTAATGTCCACTTCAAGCTTTACACAGAAATAGAAAATTCAACGTGTCTTTTTAAAATCAAAATTTTATGCGCCAGCTTCTATGTTTAATTACTTTTCATCTCCAATTTAACGAATAAATAAATGAATATTCTTTAGTTCTCCATGAGCAAACCTAACTTATATTGATAAAATTCAGTATCAATGGACACCGGACACAACATATAAATCGCTTATAATAGATGTCTCTAGACTAGCAACTAATTGCCTGTTACCTTTGTTAGAACATGTTTTATATAAGCACATCAACACACGGAAACTGTTTCGCTTTTTGGGACCTTGAGATCTGATTAACATAGAGAACAAGGATCTTTCTGCGACCAGTTTATCTCTTTAGTGATTGAACTATTAAAGTTCTTTCAAAACATCATACATTTAAACTAACAAATAGTTATGTATATTAAAAATCGATTTTTGTTTGCAGAAATTTTTACGACACGCGCAGGACTTGAACTGGCTACTACAGCGTTCCGTGCTAAACTAATTGAGCTTCTGTGACCTAATTGTTAACGTTAAATTTTGTGTACCTCTCGCGCAATGTAATTAATTACCCGTGTCGTGTTTTTTTTTTTTTCAATCTAAAACCGATTTTCATATATATAAAGCCATCATGTCCAATAGCATACGGAAAAATATTTAAATTTCAAATGATGGTACAAAAACACTACAATAATAATTCCAGTAGACTCACTATATCTCTAGTAATATATTTTCTACGATATTTTTATATAGACGCCAATATTATTTATTTATTTATTTACATTTATTTACATATATGCACTGTCATAACAGGTTGGATCCCAATGCGACAGAGATCTAAAAACTAAACAATATAATTATATATGATAGAACAAATATATATGAACTTAAACCAAATTATCGTTCATAACTCAAAATAAACTTTAATGTATTTGTGAGTTCACCCCAAGGACTGTAAAAAATATCTGCTTTTTTGTGCAAAACATTTAGGACCTCGACCGTCCTCGTCCATTGTGCCTTTGCCATTAAGTTCGTTCTAGCAAAAGGCACCACGAGAAGAGGTGGCGCGTGTCTTTTGTCCCTATAGCAGTCAGGCACGTTTATGCTTAACCTGCTTAGGACGCCGATGTTGCATACTTTCCCTCTTAATAATTTAATGATATAAGTAGCTAGAGCAAAATCCCTTCTTACTCTCAACTTATTATAGCCCACCATTCCCAGCACAAAGAGTGTCGGGTACATAAGAGGATAATATGGATAAATTCCGTACATTTTAAAATACAAATGTCTTACAAATTTGTTTTGGATTTTTTCCAACATAGCACAGTATTTTTCTTCGTGAGGTGCCCATATTGTAGCATTATGTTCCAAATGGCTTCTAACTAGTGCATCATACAGCACTCTCACGGTTGGCATGCTAGTGAAGTCCCTCGCCTGTAGTGTTGCCCAAACGCAAGAACAAGACGAGACTTAGCCAGTCTTGGTCTTGGTCTTGCGCCAATACACCTGGTCTTGGTCTTGGTCTTGGTCTTGCGCTCCCAGTCTTGGTCTTGGTCTTGGTCTTGCAGCAAGAGTCTTGCAAGTCTTGCAAGTCTTGCAATTACCTATTAGTCTATTACTATTTATTAAAGTTTACTTTGAATCCTAGAAAAACGTATTAGAATTGGAACATTGTGACCTTGAATGAATATAGCCATAGTAAAGATCAAGCAGATTAATAAATAACTGAAGATTTGATAAGAAATTCGAAAAAACAACTGACCTATATGTCGTTTTCCATGGAAGTAACTGTTTCTTAATAAACATTTATGATTTATAAGCTTACATTTGCTAAAACTCAAACTCTCGTTACTCGGACTAGAATAATTTGAATCTTTGTTACTCATTTTAAATTGTACACGTGATACGTTTTTAGAAAACAACGAGAATAAGTAAAAACAATTATTAAGTTAGACTCGAAGAACAGCTCAATTGGAAATGACTGGAATTAAAATAATTCCTTTGTTTATAGTACGTTTCCTTGCTTTCTACCGCACCTCGCCACGTGCCGGCTCTATGATAAGGATGCCGCCGCAAATCAAACAATAATATAAAGCGTGTAAAAAAATTCGAAATTATTTTGCATGAGTATACCTACGCCCTATGGCGGCAATCAAATAGTGTCAAATGTTATGATTTCGGCGTGGCGGCAACGATTGTTTTAGATTTCAAAAGAAGCCGCCGGCGCGTGTATCATAACCATGTACTTCCGAAAAGCGGCAAATTTCTTTGAGAAGTAAGTACAAAACCTTTGATGCCACATTATCAAAGTGCCGATGGTTAAAACATAACTATGCATGCACTCAGTTTGATTTTAATATGTTTTTTATTCGCTATGTTTATGGTATTAGTCGTAATGCGCATAGGTCCAGTTTTTCATATTCTTTGATACAGTTTTTTGCATCTCATAGAATTCCTAAGCGTACACCGAACTGTTACACCTAACTACTTAGTGAAATAGCGCTAAGTCCTAGCTGCAAGACGCAAGAGTCTTGCAGGCTATGTCTTGTTCTTGCACAAGTCTTGCACGGTCAGTCTTGGTCTTGGTCTTGCTAAAAATACGCGGTCTTGTTCTTGGTCTTGGTCTTGCAAAAACGCAAGAACAAGACCAAGACTGCAAGACCAAGACTGAATTTGGGCAACACTACTCGCCTGTCTCAGCACAAATCCCAGACTCCGGTAGGCTGCTTTGCATACTCTAACAATATGATTCCTAAATCTAAGATCTGCACTAAAGAGAACGCCAAGATCCCTCACTTCCATAACTCGTTCCAAAAAGACCTCTCCCACCTTATAATTATATGTCTGGGCCGTCCTTGATCGAGTAAATTGCAGGACAGCGCACTTCTTGGTATTGAAGCTCAGCTTATTCTGGATACTCCAGTTCAACACATTTGTGACATCATTTTGCAGTATTTCACAATCTGACTTGCTTTGACACTTCAGAAATATTTTCAGGTCATCTGCAAACATTAGACATTGGCTGTGCTGAATGACTTGAGGGAGATCGTTGACCATTATGCTGAACCCCAAGGGTCCAAGGTTGCTGCCCTGGCTTATTCCCGAACGTGTAAAATATGGCTCAGAACACCAGCCCTTATACTCAACATATTGCTTTCTGTCCCTCATGTATGAAGACCAAAAGCGCAGCAGTCGCGGAGTGTATCCCATAACCGCCATCTTCCTTAAAAGGATGTCCTGGTTCACGGTATCAAAAGCCCTCTGCATATCCAGGTACACCACGTCGACTTCTCCCCCGGAGTCAACATTAGGAATAACGTAATTCATTAACCTGAGCAAGTTTGTCGCAGTACTCCTAGCGGGCCTAAAACCATGCTGAGCTTCACAGATTCTCGCAGCTATCTGAGGAAAAACAGCGGCATGTATCGTCGACTCGAACACTTTTGCTGGTGTAGAAAGAATTGCCACTGGTCTATAGCCTGCCATCTCCGATCCAGGTTTACCCTTGGGCACAGGTACAACCTTAGTGGTTTTCCATTGACTAGGAAAAGTATCTGCTTTAAGACAGGTATTAAATATGTGCTGCAATGGTTCAGCCAGTACTCTGCCACAATCTCTAAAAAGAAAGGCCGGTAACCCATCTGGCCCCGCAGATGTCTTTGGCTTGAGCCGCGACAGCGCCTTCTTGACATCTTTCAGAGTTAGCTCTTTTACCTCAACTCTTGCACCGCTGTTCCCCCATCTAGATGCCTCATTCCAATCTAAGTTTGGACAATCCTTTCCATAGACACTTTCAAAGTACCGTGCAAAATGTACTGCACACTCGCTATCAGTAAGTAATTTTCCATCCTGAATAATTTTACAATCGTGTAAATTCCTCCGTTGAGCCCTAATAAATTGCCAGAATGATTTTGGATTATGAAAAAATTTATGTTGAAGTTTGTCTACGTACATTTCGTATGCTATTTTTATTTGCTTTTTAACTAAAGTCCTATACGAAACAAATTCTTCATAATATGTTTCCATTTTAGTTTTTTTAAATTGTTTATGCAAAGAGTGCTTAATTTTAATATTATTAATAATGTCTCTAGTGTACCATTTAGGATAGGTAAATTTATGATTAACAATTCGTCTTTTCTGCGGTACACATTCGCTTAACACATCATCTAATACGCTATAGAAATAAGTTATGACTTCGTCAACCTCCGAGATAGAATACAACGTTCCCCAGTCCACCGTAGTTAAGCGCGAATATAACAGACTGAAGTTTGCCCTAGCAAAGTTCCACTTGCGCTGCATGCAACTGTCGAGATTGTCGAGATTGCACGCAGAGGGCGCGACACTCGCCCTTCCCGTGTTGCCGCTCGTCGGAACCGTCACCGCTAATGGCGGGTGGTATGCATCCTCCGGCACGAGCGCTTCGTCCGCCGCCGACACGCTCACCTCCCCCGCCACACCTGAGCTAAGAACTACATCTAATTGACGCCCTAAGCAATTAGGTATATTATTACTTTGGGTGAACTCACAAAAAGCTATAAAATAATCATAATAATTTAACACATTTATAGAAGAAGAATACAAATTTAGGTCACCTATAATTACAATTTTTTTATATTTTAAGCTTAAATCTTCAAGAATTTTAAATAATAATAAATAATCCTTTTCACTACTACTTGGAGGTATGTAAACCCCACATAGAAGAAACAAAAAATTATTACAAAGGTAAACAGTAGCGCAAACCAGTTCAAATACACAGGTGTCTATCGCTATCGCTGACACACTGACGTGACGCATTTCAAATCGCCGTGTGGCCACTAAAAGCGCACCTCCTTGGCGGCGGCCGTCTCCGCGATCACATCGCAGTATATGGTATTCTTGAGGCACGATTTCAGAGTCTTGTATTGACTGATTACAACCCGTCTCCGAAATAACATAAAAATCATAATTCATTGACGTAATATTGTTTTTGAATTCTGTTAACTTTGTTCGTAAGCCACGAACATTCTGATAAAAAATATTTATTGGTTTAGTATTTTTACTGTTTTTTTCCTTGCTTACGAAACCACACCCATTCGCTGAATTGGGCATTTGTTGGCCACGTTTCTGAATTGTTTATTTTAGAAAACATTTGCTCCGGTACACCAATAAGGAATGACGCATAGTCTCTTTCTGTTTTATGTCTAATTTTTTCAACTTTAATACAATTATCCTTTCCACATACACTCAGTACATATTCTTCCATAACTTCAGCAGTTGTTTCCGGGTGTAACCGCCACACATGTAGGAATTTTTTCTTTTCTATTCCCTTAATGGCCATAGGTTCATTATTCTTTCCTACTTGAATGGAGTTTAACTGTCTTTGCTTCGATCTTTTACTTTGTACCTGAGTCCAACCCTCCCCCGTTGTCTCAACAGATTTTGTTAAAGAAACAGTAGACTGTTGCGGTAATGCGGTAATAGATTTCGTGGCCCCAGCCTTATCTATCGTCGAAACCGGTTCCGTCAAAGTGCACCTCGTAAAATTAGCTAAGGTGTTTGACTCGCTGTGCGGACCCGCCATATTTACGATTTTATAATGTAATTTATCCTCAATCGAAGATAGAATTTTCAGGACCGTATCCAAACTTTGTTTAGTGTCATAAAAATCCCGCTGCAATTGTGTTATCGCATCTGCCTGAGAAGTCAGTCGAGTATTTAATTCACATCGCAATTCTATTAATTGTTGCAATATAGGTGCGTCTTCCATGCTCGGTGAATCCACAAACCGATGACACAGGTTTCCACGCTGCGTATTGATATTGTTTCGAGGAGTAGAATGGGCCATGTTTGCAAAGAAACCGGTTCTGAACTACGGTTGTAGGTGCAAGAGAGACAGAACTACTCGCACGCTGCCCGTCTTGCTTGCTCACCGAGGGGGTGAAGAGCTTACTTCTTGTCCGTGACTCACGCGCCAGAGAACTTGGGAGATAGACTAGTAGGTGTATTATTGTAGTAGCTGTGATGAAGTATCGCTAGATGTCGTTGCTCCTGCTTAGTTTTACTACTTTTATTACACACTAGATGGCGCCACTTGTTTTATTTTTCACTTATTTTGGCTACTTCTATTGCGATTTATTTACTTTCCACTCCTACTCAATTTCACTATTTGCACTTTAATTACACTATTATGGTATTTACCTATTGGAAGCGTTTTTGATGGCAATATAAATCTTTATTGGTATTTCTCTCCGAAAAGTCTGCTATTTTGTTTTCAAACTTGGGATGCGTTAACGGTCACGACAAGTTAATCTTGATTTTTTCTTCTATTCGGCGTCCGATTCGGGTGGTGTTACTATCCGAACACTTAATTAAAGCTGGTTTCCAATTTTCAGTCCTTTTCCTACTGCTTTCGTACGATTTTCTATTTTTTATTGATTATTAAAACGGAGCACTCGATACGTGATGTTTACTGTTTCGCGCCCTCTCGCGGAAAAGTAAAATTAATTAAAGTATTATTAATTTATGACATCTAGACGGGAGCATTTATTATTCTTGGAATTATTTTTTATCCTACAGTATAATTTTTTAATATTTTTCCTACTCTTGGAAACAATTTATATTACAGTTAAAGAAATCTACTATTATTGTTGTATTTGATGTTAATATTTTTCTGTGAAATAGTCCTTACTTAAAAGCTTTCACTGGTCTATCTTGTCCACTTTGCTATCATGGATTTTATTATGCGATGTGAAAATAAAACTTGACTAACGTGTGTTTTTTATTCCAGACCGTAGCAATTTATTTTTAACAATTTAATAAGATTTTCAGATGATTCTTCACCAAGATTAAAATAAGTATATATAAATAAGGTTTACCTATTTAACAATAGCGGTCTCGGTGGCTGCGTCGTGGCTGGGGCTTGGGGCATTGTTGCTGTCGTTGTAGGGGGTGGCGTCGGCGGAGGAGGCACTGTTGTAGGGACGTCATTGCCTAAAGACAATAGAAATTTTATATAGGCAATTACAGTCTATTGTATATAAAACAATGTTACACATGAAGATGATAGATATAAGCGATCTCTTCCAGGCAACTTCAAGTATGTATATATACTTTTAATTAAGAAATTGGATTTAAAGAATCAAACTGTTTTCCACAAATTTTCTTATCCAAATGTTTGCTTCGTTAAGAACATATTTTAACTGACTCCAAAAAATTGGTTCAAATTTTGTTTTTTTCCGCATTAATTAAATAATGTATGTTAAAAAATAAAAAAAAAAAAATAAAATACTTACATTGTAAATTCATTTTTATCTTTTTCTAAGTCGGTTATTTGTAAAAATATTTCATGATTAACTAAATTTTTGTTTAGACTAATTAGATCTGATTTTTTTACAAATATTCAGTGAAGTCTTAATCATATTTGATGGGTCAACTATATTTATACTTGAACAAGTTAGTATATTTTTACTACTTAAGTTAGTAAATGAAAAATCGATCAGCTTCAACAAATTTTCACGACACGGGCAAGACTTGAACCGGCATCCATAGAGTCGTTAGCTCTAACTAATGGACCGATTGACATGATAGCTGAATTGATTAGAGTACAGCACGGAACGTTGCGGGTTCGAATTATAAGCGTGTCGTAGAAAATAATTTAATCGATTTTTAATTTATATAATGCCACCATGCCAAAAATATATAAGTTTTCAAACTTTAGTAGCTTTGCCATAAGTATCTAACTAATTCAAGTAAATAATAATACGCGTCAAATATATGATGCATTCACAAAAAATATCTTCTAAAAACTTTTATCATTAAAGCGGCCCATTTTTAGTTTTAAGTTAGATACAGCCTTTGTTCTTATTTTTTGTTACATTTTGTATTTAGTTCATTTATGACACTTATTCTTTGTACCGTAATTATTTAAATACATTTGGCTTTTTGTGGCTCAAAATGACGCACAAAAAGCGTTCGACACGACGAATTATAGCATTTTTTGTCGTGTTTTTTAGAAGTCCGTGTTTATACACTGCCAGAGATCTCTGAAAGATAACTTTGTTTTTCTCAAGTGTACATTGTATATTAACTTATTAAATAATAACTGTTTTAAAACAGTTCTAAGTTTATTCTACTTTACACTTGTAGCTGTACCGCTCTCAAATTATTTTTATTTTTATTTCAAATTCCTCTTATGTATGTTGCGTGTGTGAATTATAAATATATATATTAAATGAATATGTTTGTTTTGCGTGTTCTGGTTTTTCATTTCAAATAAAAAACTCTATATTTTGTCTATAAAGACTTTTTACGCTTTTAAATGAGAACCGTCATTTTGTATCCGCGGCCATCTTGGATTTATAATGTTATTGATTTTATTATATCGTATTGTCATCTAAATTAAATGTGTGTACCAAATTCCAGATCAATGTGACAACGGGAAGGTGCTTTTGAGCTAAATAAAACTGTTTTTTCAAACTTTCAATGTTGTATGATGCAATAGAGACAAAATATAGAATTGCTGATCTCTTTTAGATACTTGTTTACGAATATACAGAACCTTGGTAATTCTTCGTGTTGCACGTTTTAGACCTCGCTCCGCGTCCATATAAATTGTAACTTGCTGAACAGCTTTCAGAGGCAAATTTATTATCGGCTATAATTATTCCAGTTACGTTAGTTCGTTAAGACTCGAGGTGTATTTTTAAATTACGAAATAACACAAGTGCAAGGATAAACCAGATTATAGCATTTGTTTTGTTTTTATACTATTAGCAAATTCGTGTTTTTGTAAGGTTCTGATGCTAAATATAAAAACAATGGTTTTCCTAATTATAATTAGAATCAATTATACAACATGTTGGCATGTTGATATAATATAATTTATTTATGTTTCATGTTCATTAAGTTTTTTAATAAAAGTTCTATTGAAATAAAACACTGCAGCGGTTTAAAACGCATATATTATAACGACATATATTAGTTATACTTATTTGAAAATTCACGGAGATATATCTCGCGTTTTAAACTGTTAAAGTGTTCATTCAAATGTCTACTATTAGCTTAAGCAACAGACAGTATAAAAGTTCTACTTTAAATTGAAAATAATCTATGTCTAATGCAGCATAAACCTATCGTTTCAGACGCCAGTGTCATCTTGTGTTTTTAATTTAAAATAGATTTATTAAGTTTCAATGATTTATTTTAGCTTATTTTCCTCTCAGATTTGCTTCAAAGAAATAGCTGATTTGTAAAAAGGTCATCATAGAGGAGGTCAGACGAACATGACGTTCACTTGATGGTAGGTGACATACCCCAGCCCATTCATATATGATGTGTCGTCGACCTATTTTGGATTTGGTTATTCGATGTGCAAAAGAACTTAAAAAAGTAGTCTTACCGCCTATCATATTGAACTGTTCGTTCGCCAGATAATCCTCGAAGTATCTCGTGAAATCTCCTGTGGGGTCCCATCTTGACGCGAGCTTCGCCCATTCATCCGGGTACTCGTACTTTAGCCGTCTGATGATCTTCACAGCGGTCTTCTTCTGTCTTTCTGTACACCGAACGCATTTTGTTCTTAGTGCTTCTGGGAGTAATCCTGCGAACGATGAATGCGAGATAAAATGAGTTACTCATGATTGTGTGTTTTGAAAAACATGAAAATTCTATATTCTCTATACTAATATTATGAAGCCAATTTTTATTTTCGATTTTTAAATTATATAGTGCCTTCATGTGCAATAACATGTGAAAAATATTAATGTTTTTCAAAGGCTTTATGATATAAAACATTACGCTGTGACCAAAAGGAGGGAAGAAATATTGGGAAACGTGGAAAAAAAGGGGAAAATATTCATCTTGAGGGTTTTCGTTGTGTGCGGCGCGAAAACGGTTGAAGAGAATGATTACGGAGATTAAGGTAATAGGACAAATGGTTGATCAAGAGAAACGCAGAATGGTTCCTCTTTAAATAATTTAAAGTAAATAAAAAAAATATTTGTCTATCTTTTATGATTAACTTGCAAGAACGGGACGCGGAAGACGACGTCGTGGGTAAAGTAAGATTAGTAGGGTTGCAAAAACAAAATTTGACTATTTGAATGAAATAACTATTCTACGCAGACAAAGTCGTTGGCATACCTAGTGTACCTAATGTAGTGTTGGCATACATGGTACAGTTAGAATGTTTCTTGACTCTACACTAGGGCAAGCCTGTGTCTAGCATTCCAAGTATTGTAGTCATAAAGCTAACGTATACATAAAATTATAGTCTATGGTGACGCTTCACGAGATGAGTTTATTATAAAAACTCTTATTAATTGAGCGTTTAGTATGTTATAACGTGATAATTTCATATATAAAATATTTTATATTAAATCACGACTACCGATATTTTATGATCATAAATCGATAAAAACAACTTAGCGCAAGAATTTATAACATTAATTTATTCGTATTAAATAGTTAATCGATACTGAGGATAAAGCTAAGTTAACAACTTGGAATGTTATCATTTTGATGTTATCTGTATAACCTAGGTTTTGCTTACTTATCTATCTCTAATTTTAAAGTTGTAATTTTTGAAGGTTATTTCATCGTCATTTATTTGAAGCAATTGTGCGTGTTAATAAGAAGTATATAAACATTTGATCATTTATGGACGGTTAAATAAGTGCGTATGCGCTCATGCGTGTCTCTCCAGAAAAGTCGAACGTTGTCATCTTTCTGTTATATAACCTAGTTTAAGTTAAGACGGAAACACAATGTTAAATTCATTTATTAGCCAAAATTAGGCTTAGCCGACAAAATGCGCGCCATCGTTCGTATTTGACAGTTGCCGAGCTAGTGCGGGCGCGCGTTAATCAATATCAGTAATAATCGATAATTTAGAGAAATTAAATACACAACCTAAAATATACAATTTTGATAGAATGATTTATTAATGAAATCGCTCATAGTCAAGTATTATGAAATTGATTTATAAATTGACGCGATAAAAACAGACCTTTGAAATAAATTTATGAAATACTTTATTCAAATGTATTAGATAATCTTGTTTTTAAATCCGGTACCCATCGGTCAATATTATTATGACACCTATGAACTCATAAAAATACGATAATTTGTAAATCGTTTACATTAATCAGACTGTAACATATAATTTTTGTGACAGACAAACATTAGGCGCACAACATCTAAGCATGTTGCACTGTCGTCCTATTTTGCCTTTTTTAAAACAAGGAAGGACAGGCAAGCATAGGATTTCCTTCCTTGATGGAAGGTGAAATTTTCCAAACATATTACATTTATTTAAATAAAACACTTTAACGGTTTAAAACGCGATGTATTAGTTAAACTTATTTGAAAATGATTTTTAACTTCGGCCCGACGTTTCGGATGCTTTGCAGCAGCCGTGGTCACGGGGAGACGTCTCCCCGTGACCACGGCTGCTAAAAGTTAAAAAATCATTTTCAAATAAGTTTAACTAATACATCGCGTTTTAAACCGTTAAAGTGTTTTATTTAAATGTGTGCTACTCGCGTAAACTATAGACAGTATATTACATTTAAGCCAGATGTGCTGCCAGGGTATTTATTACGTTAATGGGTTTTTTTACTGTACCAAACATACTGCTGTAAGTAACCCTTTTGGCGCTAATACTTATAATTTGTAGCTGTTACCCACGGCATCGGTCGTGTTCCGTCGTTCTTGTAAGTAAATCTTAAAAAAAAAAAAATTGTCAAGGATATTATTTTAGATCATTTCAAGATGAACCGTTTTCGTAGAGCACGCAACCCCATACACACACACACACACACATTTTCCCATTTCCCACTGTTTTTTTTATTTGACGCCGCTTGATGTTTTATAACCTAAAGCCTTGCACGATAAAGGTTCTAAGCAACACAAAAATACATTTTCAATGCAAAGCAGTAGTCCTGAGATTAGAGGGTTCAAAGAAAAATTTCTTGCACTTCACAGCGAAAAGGTATTTGTAATTAATGTATTACAGCTGTTTTGTTAAGGTAATTAATTTGATCTTTGCAAGCAGCAGCAAGTTTGACATTATTTTATATTCAATATGAATTCAAACAAATATGTTTTTATAGTCTGCATATTAGTAAAAGACTTGGGTTTCTACATAGGGCAAAGCGTTGAATCGAAAAAAAAACATGTTTGCAGCAACAAACTCATAAGTTAGTCAACGGCCTTTTAAAATGCAATCTTTAAGAGATAACACAATAGCAGGCAGAAAATTACCAGGGACGCATAAATCACACGAGATTACCAACGGCTTCATTAAGAATGTGATTACAAAGTGCATTTCTTCGATAATATTACAAATGCTCGCCGTGTACTTTGTAATGGAATAGATAAATTAGGTCTCACATATTGGTCTTAGAATACACTGTACAGTGTTTGTGTAAATATGAATATAATAATACACATAATAATGTATATTATACATATTTATGTATTATATATTATACTGGTGTAGATATTAGTGGGTGAGTAGGACCTCGCGAGTAGAAGAGGTCTGGGTTTCGACTCTCGGGTTGGGTGAAATATTAGAAAAATTCCAAATCCAAAATTTATCTACATGATGGCACGTGAAAACCTTGGTTAATATCAATCCATTCGCGGCAGTAGTCGTAAGAACCCGCCAATCTAAACGATACAAATATATTTTTTTAATCTTTTATAAATACAAATGAAGATTACCAATATATTATTATATATCTAAATACAGATCAACTACAATAATGTACTTGCGTCTGAAAACGAGTCCTACGACACTACTACACTACTGGGACATTAGTCAATGAAAAGGCTTAGTTTTGTTAGAATAAAATTACTTAAATTATTGTGATCCAATAAATCTTTTTCGTCACAAACCTTCCCAAGGCAACAAAACGCCGTCGACTTTCCGAAAACAAACTCGTACCGTGGGAGAAACCCATTTCACACATTATAACACATTAATACACAAAACATCGCGTCAATTACTTTCTATTTCCACTAGAACGTTACAATTTCGTAAACAATGTACAAATATTTCCATTAAAAGAATTATGTCGTGTCGTAACATCGCTTGGTATTCAAACGACGCTTGAGTTAGGAATAAAATAACAGTTTGGGTAGCGACGTCGAATTATAACAATTTCCTAGTTTATATAAATAGTAAATAAAACATGCATTGTTTAATGGTGAATAACGCACATTATTATCTGTGGATGTTGCTGATTGGACTGTCAAGTCAAAGATAAAATAAGTCGACAGTGCAGCATGAGTCAAGAGGTCGTAGATTCGATCTCGACCTGGTCTAACATGTTTATAATCAATTTATAATTTAATTTAATAAAACAATTTTAGATTTCGTCTGGAAATATGGTTATTAATTGGGTGGTTGGAATATCGGAACTTCCGTTCAGGTGACGAACCACCGTCCACTGATGAAAAGCCGCGAAGTTTAATCGCGTTTCGATTTCAGTTTGTGTATTTTCGAACATCCAAGGCCCATAGGTCGATAACGCATCTTCTCGAGATTGTCTAGGGCTAGGTTTTTTAACCTTATATCAAGTGAAGGCTTGTCTATCCTCCTCAATAATAAAAAACAACAAACATACCTAGCTATTAATGTTCTAAGTAACAGTTGATAATAATCTTATATATACATATAACCTTATATATAGTGCAACTGACTCAATTCTTCTAACAATTCCTGACTAATTGTCTTATTCATTGCATACTAATGATATAATCGCGTGTGCGCACCAAAGGTGTAAAAAAATAAGCTAGTCTATCCACTCATTACAACATGCGCTATATTAGGTGAGATATGTTTATACAGAAATAACTGTTAACTTATTTGATGCGAACAATATTTATCACAATCAGTGGCAATGCATGGCTAATAACCAACAGGTCGAGGGTTCGATTTCAACCGGGTTAAATACTTTATTTTTTCCAAAAAACTTACGATTTAAAACGCGAAATATTTAGTTTTATTGAAAATGGCCCTACGTTCCTTTTCGTATGTGTTGCAGCATCAGGGACTAAAGATGGAGGGCGTCACTAATGTCAAGTCTATACAAATATGTAAAGCTGAAGAGTTTGTTTGTTTTTATTTGTATGTTTGAACGCGCTAATCTCAGGAACTACTGGTTCGTTTATCGAGGTAGGCTATAGGCTATAAAAAATCGCGCTGTGTCTAATTGGAGCGAAACAACAGCGGGAAATATGGAAAAAACGCTGCTAAATGATTTAAGACACCCAAAACTATGTATGATAGAATGATTCATCTTTAAATACATGTCGCGACATTACAAGTCTATCCTTTAACTCACGTCGCGAGGTCGCGACCGATGTCGTGGGTAACAGCTAACATTAGTAAAAATGAACAGGAATTTAGATTCTACGAGGACGTACTCGCTGACACAGCTAGTGTGTTATAAAATTGAAATGTTTACTACTGTCGCTATAGGTATAGACAATACTTTTCCCGCCGCTGTCCATAGACGTTGTTGACAGACGCAAAATTTCCCCGCTTTAGTTTTAGCCTCTGTTTTTAAACGAAAGCGCATTAAAAATACCTAC